TACAAATTGGTAGTTACGTTTTTCTTTGACCTCGGTACAAGTATTTTTCCATGAGATATCTGACACGTTTCTTGTGAAGTTTCACTCAGATACAAATGTGTATCTCCCATCACAAGAAACATCCTGGCCTCCAAGAGTTCTTATGCTAGGACAGAAGGATGGCATGGATGTTTTTTGTTCTTTTGTGTGCCGTCTTCTGTTCCAATATAATAGAAAGAAGCTGGAGTGCAGTGAATGTACCGTGAGTTTCTTACAAAGCAGCCCTGGCCTTCATCTTTTAAGAGCATGTTGGTACTCTTGAAACCTGGCTGCAAAGACTATGCAGGTTTCCCTATTTACTGAAACAGCTATAATTTACCAATTGAATAGAACAGTTCCTGCACCCTGCACAACACTGTCCACTTAGAATGCTCCCTATCACCCCTGCTTACCTTTGTCTTTTTCTGGGCTGGCAGGCATACTTCTGAACAGTATAACAGTAATAAAGTACAGAAGGAACCTTGGAGATCATCCATTCCAACCCCCTGTTCTTGCAGGAGACCTATACTATTTCTGATAGATGGCTGTCCAGTCTCTTTTTAAAAGTCTCCAATTTTGGGGCACCCACAATTTCCGAAGGCAATTTCTTCCACTAGTTAATTGTTCTCACTGTTAGGAATGTTCTCCTTAGTTCTAGGTTGCTTCTCTCCTTGTTTAGTTTCCATCCATTGTTCCTTGTCCTGCCTTGACAATTGCAACCACTGTTACAACCAGTGGTTGCAACTGTCATGTTTATGAAAGCGTATTGGGGCCACTGAGGGCCCAGATCCATTCTGACAAATAAAGACTTGACACTTTGTTTTGCAGGATGCTAGCTTCCTTTAAAAAAAGAAGCAGGGAGCCTGGTAGGAACCAAAGAAGTGTCTACAGGCACAATTGTGTTGATGATCCAGGTCCACAGGAAGTATAGCTATCTATTCCTCAATTTGTAGACATTGAGGAAAGTATCGCCCAGGTCTTTGTCCATATACAGCACTCAACATATGGAAACCTGAAAAGAAGGAAATTCATATGATTGTCTGGGACTTAAATAAAAAAAAGTGCACTTTACCGAGGGGAATTTTAAGTGGAGACTTGATTTTTAAGTCTATGTTTAAGTTACAATCATTTTTTTAGCATTTGCATGTGACAAATGCTATCTCAAAAGGCATCTACCATTCAGGTTATTTGTAAGAAGATTCCATAATCAATTACTCCAGTCTTCATTGCTTACTGGTGTACACCGCTTAGAGAGTGCTTGCACTTAAAGCGGTATATAAGTCTCATAAATAAATAAATAAATAAATATCTTGTATTGTTCCATTTCTTTAAGAATGTTCAGGCATGAAAACTGTCTACTTTTTAGACAATTCATGAAGTGCATTTCTTCCCCTATAAAAGAAAAGGGGAAACAGTGTGCAAGGGAAAACAGCCAGACAAGTCAGCGTTCATGGAGCCAACATTCCATTTTTTAAGTCAGTCTGTTCCTATGGCAAGTTAGATGGTATCCAAAGAAAAACGATAGATAAGTCTGATGCTTCCCTCCTGATAGCTCCTGTTAAGTTTTCAATATGTAACTGTTCTTAAACAGACCCTTATTTAATTCAACAGCTGCTTTTTTTCAGATACCCAAATATCTAGAAAAGAGAAATTGGGCTACCATGTTATATTGTCTAGAAGGCTTCTGGACAATTTATTCCATTTTTATTGGGAATAATGAATTTCCAAAATACATTATAGATGTTCACATGCTCACTATCCTTATTTATTAGAGAGGGTTCCAATTTTTAGTTCACTGGGAACTATGTCTGTCATGAAAAGCTTAGGGCGTTTTTTGCAATCTGATACCCTCCAGAATATGTTGGAATTTAGTGGACATAATCCATTAGCAGCATGGTCTTGGGAAACAGATTATTGTTTTATGAGAAAAGTAAATGATGCATAGTATGTACTTTACCCTCTTTTCTCTTTTAATTTATAGGAAGTGTATTAATCTCTGATTCAGATTAGAGCAACTGCATAGAGAACAAGAAATCTCAATCTTTATTTTTAAGTTACTATGTTTAAAAGCCCTACCCCCAATCTACCAACAGTCTATTGAGAGTTTAAAATTATAAAAAGTGGAATGTCAACAAAGGCTTTTTTCTATTATCAAAATAGGAACATTGAAGTTTGAGAAGGGTTTGCGTTGTAGATTTCCTTCCCTCAGGTGCAATAAATTAGGCTCCTATAATGCATTTATGTTAGAACTGAAAAAAAAATGCACATGTAACATTTACCATAAATGCCGGCGTATAAGGCGACTTCCGCGAGCGCTGAAATCGGCGCCAAAGACGGGGGTCGTCTTATATACCAAGTCGTCTTATACGCCGGAAATACTGGAAGTTTCCGGTGTATAAGACAATGTTCTAGGAATGCGGCCTGGCTATAAAGACGGGGGTCATCTTATACGCCGGGTCACCTTGTACGCCGGCATTTACGGTAATCTGGGTTCATTTAACCCACAACCAGTGTTATCTAGATTGTAGATTATATAGACCCGTTTCTGTTGGGCTATGTATTTGGGTACAGCACAGGGTTGGTATTGATTGTGCCTGTGAAGATCTTTGATGGGATTGAGATGTGATATGACTCTCCTGGTCTTATTTCATCTCTTGGTGGTATTTTTCTAGACCATCTCCAGTTTGGAACAGAGGGTTCTCCTCCTTCCTACAGGATGGTTCCAGTTGATGCTGGCAAAGGGAAGAGAGATCCAGCCTAAGGCCCTTGCTTTGTTAAGTCCCACAAGATTTGACACCCTCCTAATACTTATTCAACATCTATAGTCCTCGGTGATGTCATGTGTCTCCATGATGTCAGGTGTCATCAATATACCAGTGATATTCAGCTCTACATTTCAACCTCTAGTTCACAGGTGTCAAACTCGATTGCGTCACATGATGTATCATGACTTTTTTTTTTCCTTTGTGGAGTCAGGGTGAGCGTGGCCTGTACATGACGCATTCGGGCTGTGGGCTGCCAGTTTGACACCTCTGCTCTAGATGAACAAGCCAAGCTGCGGAAATCCTGTCCTGGTGCCTGAAGATTCTAAATATCTGGATAGCAAGGAAAAAGCTTAGATCCAACTCTAGGAAGCCCAAATAGCTGAGGCTTCAAGGACTTACCAGTCACAATCATTTACCATCTTTATTTCTTGATGGAATTGCACTGTCCCAAGAAAAATTTGTATGCAATCTGGTGAGGGGTGTCCTTTTGGGCACCCAGCTGTTGTCAATGAACAGGTGGCAACTGTAGTCAGAAGGGCCTTTGTAGAACCCATCTTGTACACCAATTGCATCCGTCCCTGGATCTGGGTGCTTTTCTGTTTCTCATGCCTTAGCCACTTCCCATTGAAGGCTACAAGGAAGCCACAACTAGTCCAGAATGCAGCCATGTGAGTAATTATGGCACTTCCCATTTTGACTACTCTATTATCAGACTTCTCCAGGAAAACCTGAAGTAGAAACTACATATTTTTTCTTGCAAACATCTAACGTGGTTTTATCAGAACTGAGCAGAAATAAATTGGCAAGGATAAATTCCCTTAGGTAAGAATGGTGGTATAGTAGTAGTTTTCCACGTGTCCCTACTATTCATATTGTTTTTGTCAGAAATGAAGGCCTAACCTAAGCTACCTCCTTCTTAATGTTGTCCTTAATGCATGTTGTTTTCTGTAAGAACCTTTTACAGTACCACTAGAGGGAGACCCTGCACTTTGGTAAATACTGAAAGTATACCATAAGAGCTTAAGTATTCAAATTTATCAACATCTTTGTAGTAATCACCACATTTAATAAGCTTTTTACAAACTAGGTTGGCTCAGATAGTGAGAACTGTAGTCCAATTCTGGCAAAAAAAATGCTACCCGTAAGGTCATGACATGTCAGAAGAAACAGGAAAACGGAACAATATCTAGAAAGCAATTGGTTGGAGAAGGCTGAAAGTATGTTGACAAATTTGTAAGTTAACACCAAATATTCCATTCCTATTAATATGGTTGTCTGATTAACCTGGAAAACTTTGAAGAAGAAACATCAACTTGTGTATGCTGATGACACTATTCTGATACCCAAAAATGCAAAGGATCCACAAGCCCTAGTAAGAAAAGGCTTGTGATGTTTTGGGATAGATTAACTGCCTTTACATTTGGTGGAGATTGCCCAGGGGAGGAATATGTCCAGATGCATTGTCAAGCACCAGGATAATTTTAAAAGGAATTCTTTTTCCCCCAAACAATATTCCTTTATTAGGAGTATGAAAAAAACTCATAAACTAATCCTTGAAAAGGACTTAAATCCTCCACGCCTTCCGAATGGATCAGTAATGAATACGTAGAATACGCTTCCTTATGTTTTTGAATGAAAGTGTCTACTCTGTTTTGTGGATCAGAAACGTCTTCAGTTTGAATCTGGAGATACTTCTGCCCAACAGAAAAGCTATTCTGTCCTTGAATGCTTTCCTAAAGAACCCACCAAGTATGGTTGGCAGGCATTGCTTTTACCCTGTGTATGTAGATCCATTCTGGAATTTCAGAATGGGATAACTCAGAAGGCCACTTCAGTGCAGCCAGCTCACCACTACCAAGTCACCTCTCCAACTCACTGTCAAGTTGTAGCAGAACAACGCAACATGGCCAGTTCACTGGGGGCAACTTGCTATGAGCAGCCAGAGGGACAGCCAGGCAAGAGACAGAGCAAATGGGCAGAGTGCAGAGTTGCAGCTGAGGGCTTTCCATTTTCACACTGCCCGCCACTGTCACCGCAGTGCTAACCTCCGGGCTGTTCAGAGTTCAGGCCATTTGGTGGTGATGGCAGTGTTTGTGCCATTCAGTGGTGTCAGTGCCGCATAGCCTGAACACTGCTGCCACCAAATGGCCTGAACTCCAAATGGCCCAGAACTTGGTGTGGCACAGTGGCAGTGGTGGGGAGGGTGAAAATGGGAAGCCTCTGGCTGCCACCACTGCTTGGCGCTCTGCCCACCCACTCACTCACCTGCCTGGCTCTGCCTCCAGTAGAAATCCCAGCTTCTGCTCTGCACTCTGCCCATTCACCTGTCTGTCCTGCTCTCCCTCTGGCTCTCCCCTGGCGAATTGGCTATGTTGAGTTGTCCTGCGATGACTTGGTGGCAGTGAGTTGGCAGAGGCGACTTTGGCAGTGGTGAGCAGGTGGCGATGAGCTGCCTGCGCCAAGTTGTCCTAGATACCTGGAATTTTGTTCCACAATAACTGTTTTGTCCACGTTGAATATCTATTTAGGGAAGTAATTCTCTGTCTGTCATGATTTCCACAAACTCACGCAGGAAAAGTTGGACAGCTTTTGTCAGTGCTTGTGGTTTCACCTGATGAATGTATGCTACAGTAACGAAATCTTTGCCAAAACCACACAAGCCAGCCATGGAAGTGAGTGCTTCAGGGCACTCCTCACCTGCTCTTTCTTTCAGCACTGTGAAAATGCTATGTGTCTTAGCCTAAATGAGAAGGCTAATTGGATTCCTCTTTGTATTTGATCATCAATCCAAAGTATAAGCAATATTTCCGTTTCGTGGATGATCCCTGTAGGGTGTCTGAGTGCTGGAACTCAAACCACTGGAGTACAGATCATCTCTAGCGTCATTAAGCCACTGAGCCATCGCACCTCTACAGGAGGGGATTAAAAACTCATAAAAATAGTTTGCAAATTTAAAGATCAAGAGTTTAGAAAATAGATAGATGTTATATATTGCTTCACTAGCATTTTATCTTCAAGTTGGGTCTCTGTGATCTGCATGATCCAATCATTTGCTCTCATACGCAGACACTATTGCCACACATGCAAACAAAAGGATGCACACTCAAGAGAAAATACAGCCTCTTCCCTTTGCGTAACTCAGTCATTTTCTCTGTCATACAGAAATTATTGCTACACATTGAGATGAGGCAAGGCGAAGGAAGGGTCGGAGGGAGGGAGGGAAGGAGGAAGGAAGGAAGGAAGGAAGGAATTCCTACTCAAGGATTAGGAAGCAGATTATTTTTTTTCTGGATTCAGCTTTTGAGGAAAACAAACAGCTGACAGTACTGTACAATATTGACAGGAATCCAACTTGAAATACTTCATTATTCTAACATATTCTATCTTTATATACTAATGTACTATAGAGATAAAATTGAATAACTCACATGCAACAAATATAAAAACTTCTTGAACATAGGCAAATTCATACTGAAGGTAGATACTGCTGAATACATGATTATTGCATATAAGGGCGCTAACCAAGCGCATGCTAGTTTTAATAATCAAATGTCTCAAAAAGTTAAAATAAAAATAGAATACAATGCTTACCTTTGCACAGTATTTAGAAGTATAGAAGATAATGTAGTACAGCATTATGCACACAAGCTATTTCACTCTGCTGGTCCAAGCAAAAACATGGGACAAAAATGTGTGCTGACTACAGAGTCTTCCGATGTCACTTGCTTACATGACTACAAGATAACAACTCACACTGACTGCATAGTCCCCAGATGTTGCTTGCTCACGTGACTGCAGGAAAGCAAAGGTCATAAGCAGGTGTTGCTTGTGGGTACCAAATGTTGCTCATGTGGCCAGAGGCCTTGTGATGGCTGAAAATAACTGCTACTTCCAAAGTAGATGAATGTTGGTTACATGACTCCAGAAGCCTTATAGCAACTGTAATTTCAGGACCCAGCAGCAAGTCTATTTTTTAAAGCACTATTTTCAAACAGATAGTAAGCAAATGGTTGCTACATGAGGATTACCTGTCCTGGATGGGAGAATTAACTTTCTACCATTCTCAGAAAAACACATCCCTTCATGATTAAGATTCTGCAGATTCAGAATGATGGTTTCTAGAATTGCAGGGACACTCTTTACTTAATTCTTCTGATTAGGAACAATAAAGTAAGGGCATTGAGTATCATTTGGCTCTTAACCTCACAAAATAACTGTTTTTCTGGGTCTACTCACATAGAAAAGCCTCCCAAAGTTTAGTTAAAACATGGTTAAATCACAAAATGATTTATTGAATTAAATAGCTGCCCAACACACCACAGCAAGAATATCATTTTTTCTGGTCAGGATTACTGAAAATTATTATCTGACATGTCTGGAAGATACCAAGCTGGAGAAGGCTGACTGTATCCACATCACCATCTAGTTTTGTAACAAGTGACTGTGGATATTTAAGAATACAGTGCTACGGTTTGAAAACATTCATCATCACTATCAAGCTCAGTTGTAATTTAATACTGGTTCTCAAGTGCTTCACATTTCTTACCTCATGCTGAGGGATGAGTTTTAACAGTGGAAAGCATGCCTACTATGAGGCAATTTTCTATGGCAATTGGGTTTCCTCTACTTTGTGCATGTTTCTGCATCTACATGAGTCATAAACCAGACTACAAAAGTCACAATGGTGTATTTCCTGCAGGGAGTTGAAGGTAATTGAGAGACGATAAAGAAAAATAGGTTTAAAAATCCATCTTTCAGGCATATGTCACAATCTCAGGCAGTTACAACAGAGCTTTGAGTCACCGATAGTACAATTCAGTAAAATTATGCAAAATAATACTGCATTGAGGTTTGTAGGGCTCCTTGGCAAATTATAGGAATGCACACAGGAAAAGTATTTCATATAAGATAGTATTGTCTTGCAAATTGTGCCCCTCAAAGTTTTGTTAGCAGATGCCAACTTAAACCAGAACAATTTCTGGGCCATCTGCTATAAAGACTTCACTTGGATCATGTTTGCTTTTGTGCCTGTGACTTTGGAACTGTCATCTATTTGTTGTGTTTCATCATTGGTGATAATGAAAATGACCGAGGAAGAGCTGAATGTCACTTTTTTCTTGGGCCTGTTCCTCACCTTCTGCGACGCAACAATAGGTCTTACTGGCGTTTCATTCCTGATGGCTGGCTTTTCTTTCAAAATCCTCTGAAACCTCAAGAAGTGAATACAGACAAGCTGCATAAGGCACTGTCGAAACTGCAAGGAAAGAAAACTGCACTGAAAATCTAGTATTCGGATGGCACACAGTGAATGTAATGTATTTCAGAATCAGGATGACATGATGATGACATAAGATCAGCCATGAGCTTTGGTACATACAAAAACATGGTTGATATACAAGCAGATGAAGGCCGCTCGGACAGATTTCTATTAGCATCATTTGATTACTGGCCATTTAAAAAAACTAGACAGCTCTATGTGTAACAAACTTTATTTGTTCCATTATGGATTAATTTTATAAACACTTTTTTTTTAAGTTGATGGATGTCTCTCTCAGACATTTTGTAATTTTACAAATAAGAATGGAGGCTGATTTGCTTCATAAAAATTGAACAACACAATAAAAACTGTAAAAAAAAAAAAAGCTGAAATGCTCTTGGCATTTCCAGGAAGAGCTGGGAAAGACTCTATTTTAATATCAGCAGTGCTTTACTAGGTAGAATAATCTGACATCGTGTAAAACAGCTTTTTACGTTTCTAAAATGATTGTCCTGAATGTCCTATTTTGTGACCCCTTTGATTGTTTTTGAGTTTTGAAATATATGCATGTATGTATTTACATATGTATTTATGTATGTATTTATATATGTGTGTATTTATGTATGTATTTATATATGTTTGTATTTATGTATGTATGTATATTGCTGCAAAGAAGAAAGTGATATATATGCATCTCGAGGGCTTGTTTTTTTTATTTTATCTGGTGATGGGGACATTAAAAAAAAAAAAACCTTTTAAAAAATTGCTAAACTTGCTAGACCGGCATTGCATTGTTAAAGATAAAGTCTATGTCCTACTGCTTAAACCTCAAATTGGAAAGATCCATTGTTTCCATAACCAATCACTCTGGCTGTTTCCTTCATGAAATCTACCATGAATTCCTCAGCCAAAATGAATTAATTAAGATTTTCTCTTTGGAATAACTGACAGGGAGTTATAAACCTTTGGAAATGAACTATGGAAAAAAATATATCTGGCAACAGAAACCGAAGTAACCCTGATAGCTGTAGAGTCATTCTAAACTCCAGGAATATCTTGACATTTCTTTTTCATTTTTAGAAGTCAAAGCCCTGGATTGAAGAATAGCAACTTGGAGCTTCCATTAACCCAGGTTCTACTTAAGATATGATGGACTACAATTTGGATCATCACCGCCAACATGTCTATTAACTTATGGCTTGGGAGTTGTAGTAAAATAGCAATTTAGGAGAAGGTTGAGCAAATAAGAGTCAAACCTACAATACTGGTTTGGGGCTGGGGGAGATCGCCTACTAGGAATCTTACCTTGCTACTTCCCCCTTTCCATAAAGAGACACTTGGTTTTGTATCCGAAGAAAAGCTAATCTTATTGTTTATATACAGTACTTCAACTACCAGAGCAGAACATACATTTGTAAAATGAAGTATTAGTTTCTTCTAACATTTGCAAGTTGAGAAAACTGAACTGAATGTGATTTTTACCATGTGTATTGATTTTTAGGTTTCTTTAAGTGACTTACCTTTCTATTCATGAAAATAAAAATAACTGGGTTGTAGGCAGTGTTTGATTTAGCAAAGAAAGATGGGATAATAGCCATTGTTGGAGTTATCAGGTGACCATAACCATAGGCTATTAAAAGTGAAACCACAGTATATGGCATCCAGCAAATAAGAAAAGTGGTTATCATTAAGAAACACATTTTAGCCACTTTCTTCTCATATCTTAAGATTTTGATCACATGGACAGTTTGCAAGTCTTCCACACAACGAAACTGGAAATGAAAAGAAAAAGATTAAAATATGTCATTTAGAATTCTAATCATATCTCTCTTGAAAGAATTAAGATCTTGTCTTTCTGCCACAATGTATAATGGAACTTTTCTTGGGACAGACTACTACAGTGTGATACTACAGAATGGTAGAACAGGCCTATGTTGTTTTCCAATCAGCAATTTCTCTCCAGCCAGGAATTTATTCAAAGAAAACATTGGACAGGATGGTAGAATGAAGGAGGACAAAAATCACTCAAAATTCTTTTTCTTTTAATAAGATAGCACTGGACTGCAGTGATTGGATTAATGAATCAGGCTAAACAATAATTACATTGCACAATTAAATAAGACACTCTTAAACACATTTCATTTGCATCAGGAGGACTGAATTGTTTTAAAATATATTTAGCATTACAGCAAATGCATTTCTACTGAATTATATGCTTTGATCTTTATGTTCCTTTCTTGGGAGCATTATTTCTCATTTCTTACTGAACAAAACAGAATTCGGCTATCTGAAACATGCCAGAACTTTTTAGCCAAGTTTTCCCCATTTGGCATCTTCCAAAAACTATAATTTTCCAGCCAACATGGCCTTTGGCCATCTTGCTGGAACTAGTACTTAGACCTATATCCCCCTTCATAGTACTTTACAGCACTCTCTGAGCAGTTTACAATTCAGCATATTATCCCTAATAATGTGGGCCCTCATTTTACTGACCTCAGAAGGATGGAAAGCTGAGCCAACCTTGAATGGGTCAGGATTGAACTCCTGGCAGTGGGCAGAATTAGCTTGCAATGGAGTCACCGAAGCTGTAGGCGTGAGCTTAAATGGACTCCAGAAGATGGTAGAGGACAGGAAGACTTGGAGGAATGTTGTCCATGGGGTTGCAATGGGTCGGACATGACTTCGCAATTAACAACAACTGCATTCTAACCACTGTACCACCATGGCTCAGCAATACTTTGGGGAAGACCATATTAGGATCACTACTCTAGTCCTTGGTTTTCAGAGTGATTGAGAGTCAGGAGACACACGTTTAATAAAGTATTAGTATTTTCTCAATTATTTATTCCATTTCCTTTTAAGATAGTAACTTAACAGAACCCCCATGCCACCTCCCCCAAATATAATAAGGATATATACAGATCAAGTTCAGCCATCACTTTTAATATCAGCCAAAATATGTCAGGTTGTACACTGTCAAAAAACTAAAGCAAATTATGAAAACATGTATATAATTAATAGCAGGCACACAATAAGAAGCACTTTTTTAAGTTTCAATCACTGTTTAGCCATAAACACTACATTTGCTTACTGAAAAAGTCTAGGGGCAAGCTATTGGTTTAACCAACTCACCGTTCGTACTGCATGAAGAATATGTCCATAGCAGTAGACCACAATTCCAAGTGGTACCACTAGACAACCAAAAGAGAAAAAGAGGACAAAGGAAGTATCACTGGGTTCTCTTGAACTCCAGTCCACTGAACAACCTAATCCATGAAGTTCTAGCGAGTAATGGTTCCAGCCAAGAAGAGGTGCTCCTGTCCAGGCTAAGGAGTAAAGCCAGATATATGTGATTGCCCTCCAAGACCACGAGAAATCAATCACTCTTGCATGCACTACTCTAATGTACCGTTCATAGGCCAAGACAGTGAGAGTCATAAGTGAAACAATTCCTGCAGGGAGATATAAAAGAAAGCAAACATTATACAGTAATTTTTAAATCATCTGGTATAATTGTCCTGCAATTATACCAGGACAAGACAAGACATGTGGATTTCTCAGCTTATTTTATTGCTCTACACTTATAGCTTTATACACACAATGAAATATAGACAGAAAAAAGAAAATATATATTTTTCTGTTATTGAGAGGGCTACAAGCCAAGAACATGGTCCACTAATCACCACCATATTTGAACTCAAACATTAAACATCAGATCACCCTTCTCTCACTTGATGCCCTCCCAAATGTTGGGACTGCAACTCCTAAGATTCCCTAGTCAGAAATAATTTCTTACCAACTCAGTTAAGTCTCAAATACAGCAAAATGAATAAGAATGCAGTTAAAATATGTGTATTTCAGAATGCATGTCTGTGAAATATTGTGGCTTACCAATACAATTGATACCATTTATAGCAGCCTCACCTGATATATGTGAACATGAATCTGGGCAAACTCTGGGAGACAAGTGGATGACAGAAGGCCTTGGCTGCAACAGTTCATGGGGTTGCGAAGAGTTGGACACAATTTAGTGAACAACACCTGATTTACTGGACCACAACTAACCAGTAGCCAGGGTCACGAAGAATAATGTGAATTGTAGTCTCACAGCTAGGAAAAGATTCCATTTTGCAAATACCAATTAGAAAAATTGAGGCTGGTTCGTTATTTGACATAATGAATGTGGAATGTTGGATGGTAGGTGGCTGCATGCAACATTTGGGGATGGGGGAAGAGCAGCATTATATACATGCAGCCTGCCACTTTTTTTTTTAAGCAGTACATTCACAGCTCCCACCCCTGCCAGAAGACAGGCTGAGTACCTCAAAGCCTTCTCACAATTGCCAACTCCAGCCTTTGCACCATTCTGCTAATTGAAGAATAATTTTTGGGCATTCCATGTATTTCTTTGAAGCCCACAAGGATGTTCAACTTATTAACATGGCCCTTTCCCCTCGATGTGCAGGCCGGTTCTATATATAAATTCTAATATGCAGGAGCTCTGTGCATACTAAATAACTGAAAGAACACATTTCAGTAAGTAGGCTTCAGTCAAGGCACAATGAAACAAATCCCATTACATGTTAGAAACTAAGAAAGAATCTTTTCTGAGTTTGTCAATATGGGCCGAGTGAATAAATCAGTGCAAAGAACACTTGGAGGGGGAAATTCAGATGACATCTGTGTTACCATATTGCATCCACTCAACTATCTGAAATAAACAGAATGAACAGTTCATGTGACACAAATAAATGCCAATTTTACAATTATTGTTTGATAGGTATTAACTGGAATGAAGAGAAATCAGAGAAAAATTAAATAATCTAACATCCTCTTGCCCACTGATATTCTATTGCAAATACTTTCTCCAACACCATCTGACAATGGACATGTTGGGAAGGGAGAAGTTCTGTATTAAGGTTTGAATGATGGATATATCAACAAAGAGTCAATAGATGTTTACTTATTAAACACATTTATGTGGCCTTCCAACTCACATGTCATGGTTCCGACAAATGAAACTCCTTAAAGAACTTCGAGGCATTGTTCTTGCTTTGACATCACACTTAGTGAGTCTGGGTAGCTTATACCACTAGTCACCAAATATTGTAACTTGGCATCCGAGCTGGGAGGGTGAAGAAGGGAACTGGTCCATGTGAGCAGCAGGCCAATGTGCATGTACACACACACAGAACCCTTGCAAGCAGCTCAACTTGCACAAACGGCGAGCTGGCGTGCAATTGTCCACCGGCCTGCCACTCGTGCAACTTGAGCTGTGTGCATGCACACCCCAGCCAGCCACTCATGCAGCCCAATTCTGAATAGGTCACAGCCTATTCAGGCTGTAACAAAATAAAGACAGCTTATTCTTACTGAGGGAATACTCATTTTGTTAAAGGATTTAATCTTCACAAGATAAAAATAGCCTATTTTTAAGCAAGCACAGTGTTCTAAAAGCTTCAGTGCAGGCTATGCCCTATTAATTTCTGTATATCAAAATCAGCAGAGATTCTGTTTTGGGCTTCTGAACTTGTCCAACCTTTAAAAGATGTCTCCAACAGCAACTTTTAAACTTTTCGTTCTATTAATATTTTAACTGCCTCTCCTGTACACTTTCCTAATTGTTCTAATTAGACTCACTGCAACATGGCTCTGCTTGCAAAGGATAAATAGCATGTAGAACCTTATAATTTTCTTCCTGCAAATAAAGAATTTTTACACTGTACTTTTTAAAACTGGAATGAACCTTTGCATCCAGAGGATTCAGCCAAACTATTCATAGTGCTCAAGGCAGTCAGGGTAGAAATCATTCCCAGAGATTTAATTCCTGGAAGTTAGCTCTAATTGTTTAAAAACTCTTGCTTGTGGGTGTCAGATTCTTTTGAGCTAGTTAGGTAGTATTGGGACTATATTATAAATTAAGCCAAAATTCAAACATGATACCGTAGCATGAATAAAATCCTAGCAGTCATTTATTCGACTAAGTGGTTAAACAAATCACAGTTAAGCAAGAAGTCTGAATCAGGAACTACTTTGAAGTACCAGTGATTTTCCAAATAAGTTAGGTCTGCTTCTCTTTTAAGTGAATTTTCTATTTTTCCAATAACAAGCAAATCAACAATCTTTCCCCATTTTGCTTGGAAAATCAAAGCTTTTCTTTAAGCTGAACCTATCTCAATACTTATCTTTTCTCCTCGACCTTCATGCATATCCATTAAAGTTTATGTTGTTTTATAGCTCTATTTGCAGGGCATGTAAACACTAAAATATAATCAGACTTAGGTTGAAGAAACTTGGCTTTTTATTTAGAACAGCCCCACAGTTGTTTTGGGTTAAAATAATCTTCTCCAGTCAGATACGTTTTTGAATGCAGAAGAGAGTCTCAATAAGATCACTCTCTTCAACTACATGACACAAAGAATGCAGAGTGGCTTTGCAACAACAGGATTATGTGAAAAAAACTAACACTGCTGTTTTTTTGTTGTTGTTGTCATGAATAAACCCTTATGTTCCACTTGTAATTGCAAGGAAGCAGGCATGAACACAACCACAGGGACTGGACTTATTTGCATATTCTGTATTCTGAACAACCAGATAATATTCCACTAGGATGTTTCAGCTATAGGATTTTGCAAAAAAAATAATAATGCAAAAATTAAGTCCAAAAACAATTTTATACATCAACGATCCCATATAAAGACTGGTTTGTTTGTTTTAATAAAAATGTGTACATTTGGTTTTGTTTCCTTAGGAACATCTACCTGGATTCTTTCCAAATGGGGTCCCTGAAGCAAGTCATACTTCTGGAATAGGGTAGCTGATGATCACATGTCAGCTTACAGCTGAGGCATTGGCAATGCCTATCTTAAGAGAGACTACAGATTAGAAATGACAGCAGTTTTCAAGTATCTGAAGGGCTATCAGATGGAGGATGGGTACATTTGTTTAATGTTGTTTCAGAAAACAGAACAAGAAACAGTGAACACTCACCACAAGGAATAAGATTTGGTTGGTCATTACCAAAAAAGATAAGTGCTGTAAAACAATGCAATAAAAAGCTGTGGGAAGTATTTATACAGAGGCCTGATGGCCATCTGTCAAGGATGCTACACTTGTAGATTTGTGAACCGGACAAGAGATGATCTTTAAGATGACTCCCAATCCTTGCATTCTACCTTTCTATGATTGTTTCTGAAATAATTATAGATAAATGAAATCAATTTATGTGCATTGAAATAAATAAGCTGGAAAATGTATAGAAAAAATTGTTCTGGAATGAACAGCAGATACTATTTCAGGACAAAAGAAGGTGTGAGGTAATGGTTATGATCTGTTCAACTTCTTCCTATCAAATTCACTTTCCAATAGCTGCATTCATGCAATATTACTAGCATATGTTTAAAAATTAAGTGGTTCTTAAAAGCCAGCTGAATGCAATATTTAAAAACAAACTTTAGTATTGCAACTCTTGTACCATGCATGCAAGTCTGTTTAAAAGAAATGAAAATATTTCATTTCAGTATCTTAGTCAAGCTGATTCAAAGATACCTATATCACCGATTTATGAATCTGGTCATAAGGCAACTGATTACATAAAAATAATAAATTGATACCAAGAGCAATTTTATTTAAACTGCAATTTTTTTTAAGGTGCAGAGGCATGCAAACAAAATAAATATACTTGGGTCACTACCACAGGTTGATTGTATCAATGGAATTTATTATAAAAATATTATTGCTTTATTATCATCATGACTGTATCTTGTGTTATACAACACAATTCCACCTCTTTCTTGAAAATAGTTTAAATAAATAAATAAAATGCATGGACATTTACAAGAAGTCACTCACGTCCCTCATTAAAGGTTGAGTGCATGTGAAGGATTTCTGCAAAGCTGAATTTCACTGGAGAATTCAACTGTGCAAAATAATTTGTATAAAAAACACCACGGGGAATTCACTATGAACTTTTGCTTAACCTATGTGACTCCCTTATAAGTTTTTGCCAGAGACTTAAAGTACATCTAATATAGATCCTGAGAACATGTAAGGTTATAGAAGAGCGGCAGGAATGTTCCTTCTGGCCCTCTGGGAAGTTTCCTCTAACCAGGAACTGTACTATTGAATTTCACTCTTTGATTTCTGTATCATTTAATTAATTAGAAGTCTTAGAGCAATTCATGTAACATGTAATCATAGACAATATACCTCTCTAATTATATTGCTTGCATTCATTCCCTTAATATTTTTCTATCTCTGGTAAGAGATACTAAAAAGGCAAATTTCCATCAGCTCTCCTTGATTAATCCTTGATAATCTAACTTATCAAGAGTTACTAGAAGATCCAAGTAACTACTAAGTTAACTGCTCTATAAATTCAAGCCACCATAGAAAAATATCAACAAGTTTTTAGACAAGGTTTATTGATTTATCTACTTCTTATTAGGGTTTCAATGCCACTGTAATCCGTCTCATAAAATCATCACCAGTAAGGAGATTTTAAAAAATACAGCAAAATAACAAGAGGGCTGACTAAAAAACAAAAAAACACAACTATAGTACAGTAGTCCTCAACTTAATGACAATTGAGCCCAATTTTTCTGTTTTTAAGCAAGGATTCTATAGTCCCCCATCCAGATCGTAACAACCTTCAGGCACTGAGACAAAACTTCAGTATTTTGGTCAGTAATCAAGATGTACAACTGAGCAACAGCATACTGATATCTGGCAGAACAGACAACATCCACCAATGGCTTCATTTGGTTGTTAAAAAAGAGGGGTAGAAATGTTGAGCCCCGCAACAGCCACAATTGAATGCTCTAATACAGACATGTCAAACTCGTGATGTCACATGACATTGCATGACATACTGGAACTTTTTCCCCATTGCCGGCAAGGGGGTGGGTGCAGTTTGCTTGTGACACGTCCAGCCCAAGGGGCCTGCAGCTTGACACCCCTGTTCTAATAGCCCTCCCTTATCACAACCACTGCATTGAGCTTCTCCCTTGGGAAGGAGAACCACTGCAAATCAAACTTAGCCTCAGAAGAGATCCAGAAAGATATCATAATCAATAGGGTCAAAATTGGTTGAGATGCCTAGCAAGACAAAAGTTATATTAGTGTTCTGGTCTTACTACAGGTCCTCCACAAGAGCATTCAATATAGTTGCAGCATCATTCATAATTCATTTCCTAAAATGCTCTTTGTAACTGCAAGTCCATCAACTTTTCAGCAGCCTTACATAAAAAGGGAAATTTGGAGATCAAGATATAATTAAGTAACATTGCTGGATTAAGAAACATTTTGGAGTAGAGAACACACTTTCTTCAAGGCTGCTAGCAACCTACTTTCTTTCAAGAAAGTATTAACCAATCTCCATTCCCAGCCTTTTTACCTCTTTGAAAGTTTCACCAACCAGTAAGAGTAAGGTTCTAGCTGTTTTCCTCTCCATCATACCCAGTCCTACAGAAAGGGCACGGTCAAGGTACCATTGGCTAAGGAGTATTGGCTGGCAGAATTCAGGCACCCACCCTTTGGAACATCATTCCCTCTGAGGTTAATTCCAACTCTGCTGGCTTTTCACAAAGCCCTAAAAACTTGGTTTTGTGCCTGGACCTGGTGCCCTGGCTGTATGATGAAGCCTATGGCTTTGTTCGTGGCCATTTTGTGGTGTTTGCTGCTCTGTATTTTTATGTTCTGGATATTGTTTTATTGTAAGCCACCTAGCATCACATACATAAGATGGGCAGCTACATAAATCAAATAAATAAATCAGAAAGAACCCTGTCTGCTTTTTCAGGACTAAAAGACTCAAACTTTCTGAGATAACAATGCAAGATGTAGCATTAGGCCCCTTAATAGACTTAACCCACTATCAACTGAACTAGACCTAATGTCCAATGGCTAGCAGATCTGAGCAATTTTTATTCATTTGCTTGGTGTAGTCCCATAAGATCTCTTCAATTCCCTAATAGGATCCATGAAATTTTTATAATGTTACTGGGTTACAATCTGAAGATGTAACAGCAGTGGGGATGTATTGCCTTTTTGCTGCTCTGATTGCAAAGTTATAAGCTGAAACATCTGATAAGACTCAGTCTTTGCCTTAAGCTAGCAGCATTCTTGGTATTTCATAGAATTCTTAAAATAAATGAAGGAACTTCTTTAAATCTGTGGTCCATGACAGGCTGCTCAGTTGCAAACCCTTATATCATCACCCTTATATTCCAGCTGGCAAGTCAGAAGTGTAGCCTACCCCACATTTCCCATCATATCTCCCTCTGCGCATTACAACCTGAAACCCCTTCCTTAATTCTATTACCGACACCATTAGTCTGTCTACCCCAGCAACTGACTTGGGAGATTTCATTCCAACTGTCCACTCTATATCAAATCAAGATCTCAGTAACCACAATATATAATTTATTTATGGAATTTGGGATAAGGATTTATCCTCTTATTGACTTGTATTAAAGCTGGGCAGTGATACCTAGTGATATCAAAATATAAAGGCAGAAGTGTTAAACAAGGCAATTCAATTCCCATTACCTCCAGCTAGCATTGTTGATAATAAGTAAGTGATTCTGGAATTTGCATTTTAATATCTGGAAGGTTACATGTTGCTTACTCTACAACTTGATTGATCGTGTGCCATCCAGTCATTTTCGACTCCTAGCGACCCCATAGGTTTCTCCAGGATGACCTACCCCCCAATGAACTGGGTGATTAAGTAAAAGAGGTCAATTAAATGTCTATGGAGATTCTCAGTCATCCAGGTCATGGTTGTCCCAAAGGTGCTTTTTCAAGTGCTTTTTCCTTCCATTCCCCACCATCTAGTCAGAACTGAAGAGGCTTCTTGCATGAGAAGCAAAAGGTCTTCAAAGAAAAACAAGAAAGTCCAGTTGCCTCCTGAAAAAGCACCTCTGAGGTCAACTAAACTGTAGGGAGGCCAAGTTTGCTTATGGGGGCAAGTAGGAGGACGAGTACCAAAGCTTACAACCCTTTGTTAGCTACCTTGATATTAAAGAGAGGCTTGCTTTGAACCCTGAACCCTGAACTGGGGTTAGACTGGAAACGTCAACATTTGCACCAATGTGCATCAGAGCTTAGTTTGGCGCTGTAATAAGAGAACTCTGCCCGGCGCAGAGGTTCGCTTTTTTTATTCGCGTCCTTCCAAATCTTGCCCGGGTCACTCTGCACGAATTCAGAGGGACGTCCGGCGCCGCCAGAGCAGGCGGGGAATCGCCCCGTGCGGGTTCTTCCCTTACCGAAGAGGCTGTTGCTGAAGCCGTCCCACATGCAGCCGGTCTCGTCCCAGGCCCAACCATTCCTAAGGCAGGAGAGGAAAGTGAAGCTGACGCCGAAAAACGACACCAGCAAGTCGCTGAGGCTGATGTTCACCAGGAAGAGACCGGTGGGCGTGCGGAGTCGCTTGAACTTGGTGTAAACCACCAGGACCAGCAAGTTGTTGCACAAGCCTACGAGGCCGATAGTGGCGATAAGCAGAGCTAGCAACTCATAAGTCCTGGCGCTGAACGGAGTCCCGAAGTCCCCCGCCGCCTGCTGCCGTCGTCGTTCCAGGTCCTGTTCCCCCGGCGTGGGCTCCAGGCTGCTGCCGCGGCTGCTGTTCCCAGAGTACATAGTTGGATGCCCGGGAAACTCCGTTCACATGTTGCAGGCAGCCTCTGTCCTCCTGCTCGGCTGCGGGCTGCTGAGAACCGCGCAAGATTTGTAACCCGCCTGAATCTATTTGGAAAAGGGAGTTTCTGCAGCTGCTTATCCTGCCGCCGTCTGCTCCCCCGACCACCTCTTGGCGCCAAAGGCTGCGAGGGAGGAGCGAACTCTTGGAGAGAGCGTGGAAATCCGGGCGCCTTTCCTTGGCACGGTCCCCCTCGTTAATGGCACCTGAGCAGACGTGCGTGGACGGGAGATGGTGACAACTCCAAAATGGAAAGGAAGGATCTTCGAATAAGGCTGCAAGGACGAATGGTGCCGTTAATAACACATCTCCTTTGTGTAGTCCGGCGCGATCGCCGAAACGAGAAGACGGCGAATAACTGACGTTTGCGCTAATGCGCGAAACGTATGACTTGGTGTTTGACGGTTGCTTGCCCCGAGGTTTTTGAATTGCTAATATTTCGGGCATCTGTTCGTGCGTAATGATGATTGGAGCTTCCCAGTCTAGTTGTTTTGCAAGTTTAGGGATCACAGCTTTCATAATTGTCAGCAATGAGGCGAATGGAATTGTAGCATCTGTCAGCCTAGCCCAGGAGTCCGCAACCTTAAACACTCAAAGAGGCATTTGGACCCGTTTCCCACAGAAAAGAAAACACCCGGAGCCACAAAACCCTTTTGACATCTAAAATGAAGATAACACTGCATGTATCGTTTTTTACCTTTATGCTATGTATAAAAAAACAGCGCCACAGCAGAGGGATGAAAAAGCCACATGTGGCTCCAGAGCTGTGGGTTGCTAACCCCTGGCCTAGCCTATCTACACAGATAATACAGAAAAAAGTTCATTAGAACGATATGATCCCCCTTTAATGGAAAAGAAAACCTTTAGATTGAGCTTGATGATTTCATGGTGTAATCTTGATAGCAGTATGAAAGTGGTTTGGCATTGCCTTTCTCAAATGTTTTTGCTTTCTCGGAAGCCCAAGTTTTGGTATCCTTGATGCTGTCTCATCTAAGTAATCATCATACCTGATCCAGGTTAGGTCTGATCCTAGACAAGGTCAGCAAGGAGCTGCCAGCTATTGAAATCACTCCCCTTTCAATACTATGTTTTGTGTTAATAAGATCCATAGTTTATGAATTGCTACATTTTTCCTGTTAATTTTTCAATTTTATTGGCTAACTCCTGAATTCTATCATTGAGATAGGAAAAAAGAAAAACCTACTTTTTCTATGTTATATGTAGTTCTCAACACCTAAATGGTGTTTTGTATAAACTAAAAATCCTAAGGATGAATGAATCCATCAGGTTTGATGTGATCCAGGTTTCTCACTTTCCTAATGATAAATTTGTTAAATTTTGAATGCGTTTTTGTGAGCCGTTTTGCTTAATGAAACTTCTTCTAGGGCACCATTTTCCTAGTATCATGCTAGTATTGCAAACTGTAAAGAAAATAAAAATGCAGATGTTTTATAGAGTTGCATTGTTAAAGCTATATGGAAATTGAAATTGATTTAGAAAACAAACCATTGTTTTAACTGTATTTTCCTTTATATTAACCCTTTTTGTACTTCACTAACTGTCAGGTAAATCATGTTGGTAGTTTTTTTCAAATTTCTCTTGCATATTCTTGGCTAAAGTTGAAACACTGTAAGTATATGCATCATAAGTGCTACAAATTCTCAATAGAATTAAAGCCCACTGATTTCATTGGAGCCCTCTTGTAGATAAATGGCTACAGCAGTGGTCCATGAGTTAGATGCTGCCTGCAGGTTGGATGTTAATTTTGGGGAGAATTGAAACTCAAAATCTCATTATTCCCTTGGATACAAGAAGGAAAGAAATCAAAGCATTTTGTATAGACTTGAAGACTGGTATTCTTTCTCTCTGTTCAGAACTCTCAAGAAGGGGAGTCTATTCATGCCAGTAATTTGAGCTGTTTGCTTGCTTTTGAAATTAGACCCAGGGTTGAACAAACTTCTTGGATGATGGATTTTCTCCCCTAACTCTAAATTATTCTGAATTTGTAGTGGCAAAGCTCAGGAAGACATATTTACTTTTTTGCTATATTTCTCTCAACTTAATAACCATTTTGGAAACTACCTATTAATTGTGAGAGAAAAGAGATACCTGTATTTTTCCCCAATTGGGTACACTTTTAAACTGATGAGGAATCATGGGAAGTTAAATGTCAACAATAGAACTCCGCTTACATTTGGACTGTCACATTACAAATCAGGAAATCCTTTTACACAGCTTGTAATACAAATCATTTGGCTTAGCATTAACAAAACTATAGTCCCATCAGCTAGATCAAGGAGATGACTTCTGCATAGTACATATATGAAAGACCCTGAAACCAGTTGAAATGCACATACAGATGCTAATATCCTCATATACATTTCCCCTGTTTAAATAAGGAGGAGTAAAATTTGGGAATAAATATTATAGAGCAACCTTGCCCAGTCTGGTGACTCTAATACATGGTGACCTAAAGGGGTGGAGGAGGAAGAGGAAGTGATGTTTGCAATGACCATATCATGATGGTACATAATCTGTGTTATTTGTACAATGTTATTGCATAATTAGTGTCATTGCAATTGTTCTTTCAAAGGTGTCAAGAAGGTCTGAAACCAGTGATTAATACATCCATATGCTACAAGACCATGACATGACATGAACTATATGCATTATCAAAATTATTTTATCTTTTCCCCTTTTAATTGTCAGAATGGCATTGCAGGTTGTGGGAGCTCTGCGTTTTTACAGAGGCCAGGGTTCAGGTAAGAAAACTTGAGATGCTCCATGGAAAATACAATAAAAGGGAGACAGCAACTACAAAGAAGTTGTATAAGGACAAGAGGTGCGGACTTGTAGGCCTTGTGGACTTCTGGGGAAGAAAGTTTGAAACTTAAGCCTTTCATTCTATGGGTTCAGATGTGGTACTCTATAATGAATTATTCTTGTATTATAATTAGGAAGACAGTTCAGTCTGATCTATAATCACTTTGTTATATTTCCTTAGAGGATAGAAATTATTATTATTAGAAGATAGGTTGTGCTTCACCATTACTCTCTACAATACAACCAGCATGTACTTAACAGTACTCACCAAATCTAATCTTCCATGAATGAAACGGATTGAAATTAAATGCATGGCTGCTATCCTCTAAACCAGAGGTCCCCAACCTTTTGGGCACGAGGGACCAGTTCCATGGAGACAGGTTTTTTCGTGGACTGGAGGGGGCATGGTTTTGCGTGCTGCCTGCATCCTATGGATGGCGCTTCGCTTGTTTGCACAGACCTGTTTCTGGCATGCCACGGACCGGTGCCAGTCCACAGACCAGGGGTTGGGGACCCCTGCTCTAAATCTTTCCACCAAATCATTATTTACTTGTTTAAGTTTAGAGCAGGATTGTCAAACTCGCGACGTCACGTGACGTTCCACAACGTATCAGGCCAGTTTTGCCATTGCCGGCACTCTGGTGGGTGCGGCTTCTGGATGATGCACCTGGCCCATGGGCTGGCAGTTTGACACCCCTGGTTTAGAGAAAAAATACTTATGATAAGATTTGGCTGAGTACAGTAGTTGACCACCAACTGATTCTTATATGCTTATAGAAGGCTATCCATGGTTAGTGAACACAGAAATCTGGGTCGACATGTTGCACAAAGCAACAGTTTTGTTTATAATTTGTGGATTATTCACAAAGCTGTGGTTGTGTTCACCAATAGCATAAACCCTGACATGCAAACCACAATGCCTAAATCAAAATAAAGTCAGCCATATTATGTTTGTGTTAGCGCAACATAACAGTGGTTAAACCACTATTTTCTCAATCCTATTTTCTCAGTTTCCATGGATATTGGTTATAGTGGTTGATGATGTAGTTGTAATGCAACTCATCTGGAGGATATTAGTTTGAGGAAAGCAATGGAAACAAGACATTTTCTTTAATTTATACCTCTGCAGCATTATACTAGAACAGCTTTCCTTGAGCTGAGAAATTGGCAGTTCTATTTCCAACCAGCACAGCCAAAGGCTATTCTGACTGAGCTGTTACCCCGATACATCTGAAGTGCAGCAATTGGGAAACATTGTACTGTAGTAAATTATTTAATTTAATCTACAGTACTTTGACCTTCTTGATTTTCCTTACATTTTAGCAAATGGTTTACAACTGTATTAAAAAACAAGGATGTTATCCCTTTGCAATTGCTGAAATAAAATTAAATAATTTTTACATGATATTTCCCCTTAAAAAGCCAATTTGCCTTTTGAATTTACTACGTCTTATCTTTGCCTTATTGCCATCAGCTAGGGTGGTTTGTGATCTAGATTGGCCAATAGACCAATCAAACTGAGGGAGGAGTTGTGACATCAGATATTTAATGGCATATTGACCCCACAGCTGCTGCAGTTACAATTTTCCATTCACCAAAGCAATACTTAAGATCTATAGGGGGCATTTCCACAAATGTTGCTATTAGAAATAACAACAGAAAGTAGTAAGTATAACTGACTGGCAAAAGAACTTCTCTGTGTTTTGTCTATCTCAGTAGCTGTGATGTCCAGAAGAAAGATTTACAAAGATGATCCACCTGACCTACTAGATGGACTCTTCTTTAAAAGATCCTTGCAGCTGTTTAAGCAACTAGTTGACAAAACAGTTGCTCAGAAAAGGGAGCAAAGATTAGGCCTGCCTGTAAAGGATTCTGGTAAGGAAATACTTCATTTGATGTACTGTTCTCTGATACATGTATTTACTTTTTTATTAGCTCCTTTTTGGATGGCCGAAGAAGGCAAAATGCAATTACAGACAGGTGAATGGTGGCAAATAAAATATAATATGCAGCACAGTGTTCAAGTTGTAAGTCCAGTGTCCCAATAATAGGACAGCTGTATGACTAATAAAGTACCGTATAGTATGTCCTCAGTTCAAAAATTGAGGCCTTTGAACTATGGTGCTGGAGAAGAGTCCTGTGAGTCCCTTGGACTGCAAGGCGATCAAACGGTCAGTCCTAGAGGAGATCAACTCTGACTGCTCTTTAGAAGGCCAGATCCTGAAGTTGAAACTCAAGTACTTTGGCCACCTAATGAGAAGGAAAGACTCATTGGAGAAGAGCCTAATGCTGGGAAAGATTGAGGGCAATAGAAGAAAGAGACGACAGAGAATGAGGTGGCTGGATGGAATCACTGAAGCAGTAGATGTGAGCTTAAATCCAGAAGATGGTACAGGACAGGAAGGCCTGGAGGAACGTTGTCCATGGGGTCGCGATGGGTCGGATACAACTTCGCAACTAACAACAACAAATAGTATGGCACTTGACATGGATATGTATGCAGACCCTTATAAAATAACAGAATTGAGCAGAGGGCCATAAATTCTTTGGAATAGGACAGGATGGATTGCTACAGAATTACCTGAGGTTTAATACTGATCTTAAAGCATAGCAAATTCATTAGGGGTAAAAAAAACAAAACAAAAAAAAACCAAACCCTTTCAGCAGCAATAAATGGAATTTTTAAAATTTCCTTTTTGTGTGAGATATATGGGACCCTACACATTTCTTACAGAGTGTTGCAAACTTTTTATTATACACTCCAAAGCCAAAACTTCTTACTGTATTTTTTTCAGAATTTCCAAGATTTTTAATAGCAGCGTATGTTGATAAGACTTTTGGGTTAAAATGAAGATTAAAATAAAATCTCAAAGATTAATAGTGGATTTCTACACAAAATAATGTTGATGGTGAGAAAAGAAATAAAAAAGGTGATGTGTTAGCCTTTGTGTTTATATTCTGTGAGTGCGTTATTTTGTTTTAATTGCAGAAGAAATTGATTATGACAAATTCTTTGATGCAGTAAAGAGTCTTTTTGGTCCAGATGTGAAAGCCCAAGATGTTAAAACCTTCTATAGGAAGATTAGCAACAACCCAGATGGGAAGACAGAATGGTGTGAGGTAAGTTACTTTTCTTTTGATAACTCAACTTTTTTGACAAATATCGTATCTGACAGATCTGCAAAAATATGGAAAAGCAGAAAGAATAGGGGACAAGGTAGAGAGCGGTGTGCCTAGCATAGTAAAAGTTAGAGGTTTCACTGTAATAAAGGAGAAGGAGGAAGAATAAAGCCACAATGGCCTGGAAAGACTTTTCTAAGTGAGAAGAAAAAGAAGAAAGAGAAACTCAAACTCTGCCCTAGTAAAAGAAACAGGAAATGTTTATTCTAAATGTTTTGATTAGTGATATGCAAAAGTTTTGAATCCAGGCTCTCAAATTGGAAACATCCTATCTCAAATGCAAAACAGCTTTTCACACACCAAGATAGTCCTGTTTCAGACTTTGAAATCTGAGTGTTTTAGATTTGCTTCATTTTACAGTAAATGTGGAACAGCTTTTAGGCTGTTTCACACTAAAAAAAAATAATCCTCAATACTATCTTTTGATGGTCTGTCCATAGACTACCCTATAGTTAAAATTCACTGCTCCCAATGTGAAAAATGATGCCTTTTGCCATTTAATATACATCTTCAGCAAAGAGATAGATTCATTCCTTTGATCATTGCATGGAAATGAATTCCAAATTGTTCTAGTCAGCTTCTGCCAAGGAAACAAGCAAAACATCTGAAATCAATTATCAAGGGAGTTTTACTTTAAAGACTCTTAAATAAACTCAGCTGGAACTAATCCTGTTTATTTCCTCTTTTGCTTATTTTCCTTTTATTCCAGCACCAAAACAAATACACAGAGACTCAGGCCATTTCCTATGCTATCCTACAATGCTGAAGTCATCCAAACAATGTAGTGATGTCAGAATGAACCCAACTATATTGTTTCAGCAGGATGCATACTGCATTTTATGATTATTTTGTTGCCATGGGAGTTAGGGGTACAAAAAGAGGATGGTACTAAAAATAAAACAGGCAGCCAAGCATCTGGCATTTCCATTTTTTGACCTTGCATTTATAACATTTATTAATGCATTGATATATATTATGTCTAAATGTTATTAAATGTGTTATAATAGTTATTAAGTGAAAGCCCCGATGTTTTTATTTCTCACTGTTCTATTGGACTGTACAAATAGAATGTACTTTATCCATAAGTCAAGACAGTGTTCATGATATCTCTCTTCCCAGGTTTTATTTACTACCAGACAACTTGTGACCCACTGGGTTTTTGTTTCAGACACATTTCCTTACCTCAGTGCTTCTCAATTATTTTCTGTCATGCCCCCCTAGGAAGAAGAAAACATTTCGCACCCCCCCCCGCGCGACTGTCTATCCAATCGGGTCCTTTGCGTGTGTCACGTGCGTCCAATATGACAGTATTTGCCGAGGTCAAATGAGCCCCCCTTTACGGAGCCTCGCGCCCCCTCTGGGGGGCCCGCCCCACTATTTGAGAAGCACTGCCTTACCTGAACAGAGAAACAGAAGATCCACTGCCAGGTTATAAAAGCAGTGGAAGCGAGAGTGACTTCCAACTTCCTGCTAGCTTCCCCACTGATTTTTTTTCAATAGGTGGCAGAGAACATTGGAAATGACAATCACATAAACATGGCAGTGCATAAAACAGTCAGAACTTTATCAAATTTCAGTCCCATGGTAGTCTTGGATTCTGAAATTTGAATACATTCTGCAAGATAGCCCATTTGAGATATGTTGCTTCAATAATGGTTGCTCTATGATAGTAAATAGTAAAGTATAATAAAGCACATCTTCCTTCCCCTGCCCTTACCACTTTCTGCAAAGGGACGATCAAGAGCATCCTGTCATATTGCATTACAGTCTGGTTTGGAAGCATCACTGCTTCAGCCAGGAAGGTGGTGCAGAGAGTGGTGAGGATGGCTAAAAAGATCATTGGCAGTTCCCTCCCTTCCATCCAGGACATAGCATAGAAGCGTTGCTTGAGCAGGGTTCGCAAGATTGTCTGGAACACTACACTCCTCTTCATGACCTTTTTTCCTTGTTATCCTCTGGGAAGAGGCTTCATGGTATCCGAAGCAAAACATCCAGATTCAGTCACAGTTTTGTTCCATACAGTATTAACCTTGTGAACTCTAAAGCTTCCTCCTTCCATTATGTATTCCAGATGGACAGTGATTAATATTTATATGTTACTTATATGTAAGAATGTATGTCTATACATATGTTGTATATAGTATGTTTAAATATGTGTTATGTATGCTTATACTTTGAGACCAAGCAACTAAATTTCATTTTTAATGTGTGCCATTGTGCCCACAGTAAAAAAAATGACAATAAAGGTCTGTCTATCTATCTATCTATCTATCTATCTATCTATCTATCTATCTATCTATCTATCTAAATCTTAGGAATTATAAAAAGAAATAGATATTGAAACACATTGTCTAAACTGGCTTATTTATTATTTATGTCATGAACTTTTTTTCTAATTATCTGTTTTAGAATGGCCAGTGTATTAAAATACTTAAGTACTTAAAATACTGTCAAGACTCATTGCCCTTGATCTTCAGACATATACACTATCACAAACATTCCTAATGTTGGGAATTATTTCTTATACAATGTACAATACCCAAAACCAAATATTTATTTTTCATTATTATTTAAATATTATATATTTTTGAAAATATAATTATTTTCATATTATACATTTTTGGGGTTTAATTTAGATATTTGGCTACTACATGGTGGAAGGCGATATTCTTGCTGCCCAGCTTGATGAAGAAAATATGGTTTTCCTGATATCCAAAAAGCAGCGGATTGCAAAAACAGGTCTGGTTTTCAATGTTCCACTCCAAATAAAAATTCAGCCTCATTTATTAGTATAAGCAAAATAATGCATTCATGATATATAGTTACATTGCTTAAAGGCATTTTTCACATTATTATATGTTATGTAATGTATATTTTCTTCAATCACACTTTCCCATTACTGTCTTATCTGGCATTTTTCCAATCAGAAAATGTCAGTTTTATTCTGTTTCCTATACCAGCCCCATCCTCCAGATACACTGAACTACTTCTAAAATTGCCAGCTAGCAAAAGATTAGGAAAGACTGCACTAACTTAAAGGCTGTCAGAGAACAAGATTTATAAGACTGATTTCAGTACTTCAGCAAGCTTACTCAGATGTAGTCAGTTCATCATATAATGTAACATAAACCATGTAGTACACTTTTAATTATGTTTGGACATATATGCACATACAGTATGTATCTGGAGAATAGATAACATATGTACATAACTATCACATCCCTAATCATCACATTTATAATATCTCCACAAGTATGTCTTATACTTTCACCACCCAAAGAGACATCATACAATTTTGGGTTTTTTTCCTTCTCAGGGTTGACTTATTTGTTAAGCATTGCAATCTTCTCAGAAATGCTTTGCACCCATAAAACATAATTATTGCTCACAACAACCACCTTTCATTTTCATATTTGTGCACAAACGTTGCATAACCCTAATCTATTCCCTTTTTATCTGTTCACTTTCTGTAAATCAATAGTCTGCTTCCTCGTATTCATACATTTTTAGTAACCTTATGAAGAATTGTCATCTGGTCAATGCACAGCATTTCCTGAATTTTGTTCAATAAATGGCTCAAATAACCACTTCATAAGCAAATTAAGTTTGTATTTTAACATATTTCCAATTACACCATTTATATATGCAGAGTCATATTGAATTTTCAAAATTCGTACAGCATTTATGACTCTCTTTGCATCAGGTTTTTTCTTGGACACTTATAGCATTTGTTTTAATTCCATTGCTCAACATACTATTATCATTCCCACACAGATCTCTGAAATACGCCTTGCAGCATTCTCTTGTCTCAATTTCATCCTAATTCATTTCACAATTTTTATTTTTTAATTCATTCACTGTGCTGGAGACCCTTTGCTTAGTCTTTTTCATCCATGTCCATAATAACTGTTTATTTCCATAAAAATTGTTCTGCATCTTCTCTGCTCCTTCTAACCTTACTGTTCTATGCTGTTTTGACTGCCTTCTTTGCATCTTTTTTACCAACATAGTATTTAATATCTTTTCTTGTCATATTTTTCAGTAATTATTATCTAATGTATTCCATAACCTCTTTCTGTTACATTATTCCACCAAGCATCATTTTTCATGCTTCCATTAGTGTAACTCCCACACACATTTTCTCTACTGTGGTACTTTTTAAAATAATATTTGCTATTTTGTTTCAAGTGGCTTCATTATCATTCCTTATGTCCTACTATTCAGTTTGTAGGAAATTGTCTTATACTTTGTCCTCTTGCAATTTTTCTGTTTTCACCTTTCTTTTCTTTCATGGCATTATATACAAGATCAGCTCTTGATAGTAATTCAGTCTTTTATCATTAAATCAATCGTGTTTTTTTATTCCTTCCTTTGTCATAGATACATGTGAACAGATTTATGCTTAACAGACATTTTTCTAAAAAGGTGCCCATTAAGCAATCTCATTGTTCATTCTTGGTACCCCATATGGCTCAATCTCTTTTTCATCCCATTCCCATCCATTCATATCACCTAACAATATCACATTCATTCATGCTACTTCTTGCAGCAATCATCATCCTATGAATTTCTATTTTGGTTCATATTTATTGTTATTGTTGTTCAATTGCCAAGTCATATCTAACTCTTTGTGACCCCATGGACTATAGCATGCCAGCCTCCTGTCCTCCATTGTCTCCTGGAGTCTGCACAAATTCATGTTCGTTGTGTTGATTGTACTATCTAACCATCTCATCCTCTGTTGTCCCTTTATCCTTTTGCCTTCAATCTTTCTCAATGTCAGGGTCTTTTCCAATGAATCCTCTCTTCTCATTAGGTGGCCAAAGTATTTGAACTGCAGCTTCAGTATCTGTCCTTCCAAAGAACAGTCAGGATTGATTTCCTTTAGGATTGACTGATTTGATTTTACAATCCAAGGGACTCTCAAGAGTCTTCTCCAGCACCACAAGTTGAAAGCATCAGTTCTCTGGTGCTCAGCCTTCTTTATGGTCCAGTTCTCACAGTCATACATTACTACTGGGAAAACCATAGTTTTGACTATACAGACCTTTATCGGCAAGGTGATGTGTCTGGTTTCTAATGCGCTGTCTAGGTTTACCATAACTTTCCTCCCAAGAAGCAAGCATCTTTTAATTTCATGGCTGCAATAACCGCCTGCAGTGATATTGGAGCCCAAGAAAATAAAATATGTCACTGCTTCCATTTCTTCCCCTTCTATTTGCCAGGAAGTGATGGGACCAGATGCCAAGATCTTAAGTTTTTTTCAAGCCTACTTTTGCACTCTCTTCTTTCACCCTCATCAAGAGACTCTTTAGTCCTCTTCACTTTCTGCCATTAAAGTGGCATCTTCTACATATCTGAGGTTGTTGACATTTTTCTTGGCAATCTTAGTTCCAGCTTCTGATTCATCCAGTCTGGGATTTTGCATCATGTACTCTGCATATAGGTTAAATAAACAGGGGAACAATGTAAAGCTCATTTTGAACCCATCAGTTGTTCCATGTCCGGTTCTAATTGTTGTTTCTTGACCCGCCTACATGTTTCTTAGGAGACAGATAACGTGTTCTGATATTCCCATCTCTTAAAGAACTTGCCACAGTTTGTTGTGATTCATGCAGTCAAAGAAAACCCTTTGTTCTTATCTGCATCAGTGTAAATCAGGGATCAGCAAGCCAGTTTCTACCCCTCTTTTGCCTGCACAGATATGTCTGGCAAATCTGCAGGTCAAGAAGCATGGCAATCATTGGATGGTGCCAGGTTGATGATAGGCTGCTGTTTCCAGGGTGCCCCACTTCTTATTCAGAGAGTTTAGCAGAAGCATGGACCTGGTGATCCGTGACCTGCCTCTTCATTTTAGCTCACAGGCTGTGTTTAATACAAATTCATGCTTTCCAAGGTACAGTAGATACAGCTTTATTGCTGCTTCTCACAATTTATTCCTCTCCCATTCCAAATTGCAGTTTCTATGTGCATGGTCAATACCTGATGAGGTCACAGCCAGACATCATGGTTTAGTCAGTGAAGGTTGTCATCTCATGCTTTTTAATAATATAAAGTGTAGATTAGGTTTACTATGTAAACATGTCTACGTAATGTGCAGCATCCTCTAGTAATAGTAAGGATGCAATATTGATAATTTTGGAGACATTTTTGGTAGTATGCCACATGTGGAACAGAGTTAATTGTATCTCAAGCAGGAGATGTTATCCTGTTCACGTTAGGATCTCTCTCTAGATATTATTTTTTAAGGGGATGTATTTTTACCACATTCCATTAGCTAGGAGGCACATACAGGTGCATGCTTCATTCATTCATTCATTCATTTTTACCTGAACATAATCAAAATATGGGTCATTGCTTCTAGATCAGTTAACTAAATATCTTACAGGTTAATTAACTCCCTGCTTTTATATGTCTTGACTAATTCCTAGTTTAAATTATCTTTTGTTTATCTTTTTTGTAGGAGTCAAGAGAAGTGATGTAATAAGATGCATGGTAAAAATATCTCAACTTGATTTTTTGCTAACAGCATCTCAGAGGGGAATGTTGTCTATTTTTTCTGGCCAGGTGATTTTGAAATATTTTTTTCTTTACTGAATTAAAATCCTGTCTAATGTGGACAGACACTTAAAGAATTGTCAAAGGCATTGTCCTGTCCTTATGTTTGAGTCAGATTAAACTTCATATGAAAGAAATGTGATTTCAGATTTTCAGAACCTGATAATTATTTGCTTTGATATATTAATCTGGCACAAATTTATAGAAGTGATAGCCATAAAAATAAAGAGTCAGTCATGAGTATAAAAGTTTCACAATCATAGTACTAATAAAAGTTCTTAAAGTTTAAAAATGTCAGCTTCTCTAGAAATTAATAGTAAGTGTTCAAAACATTAGGAAAATTAGAGGATACACCCCTAAAACCTCCCCAAAACAAAACCTCAACATTGCCTGTCAAAATACCTGTCTGAAGACATTCTGAAACTGGGATTCCAAATGATCCTCTTCCTGGTTATTTTTCATCTTTTGATGATATTTTGCAACAGAGAAAAAGTTGTTAATCCTTTGTTACATACTGCTCCTTTGTGGGTATTGTCTCCTTTCTACATTTTTCTGACTGTGTCTTGTTTTCCAGATGCGAATACTAGCAAGCACCAGCATCCCAGTAAGTGTGCATTTCTCTCACATTTGGTTCAGCTAATGAAGCCTTTTAATTCATTAAAATGTATGAGGGTACTAAAACATTTTCAATTTCCTATATAAATTTATCTTTCCAGATAAATTATATCCTTTTCATATAAGTTACTGCATATACTATCTTTAAATTATCCATTCTAAAATCCAGTTACCTTCCAGAAAAAATGATGGAGGTCATAAAAATCAAACTGAACATATCTCATTTTTCTGATTTGTGACTATTTGTGATATTTTATATCACTTCCAAACTTGTCCAATTTAGAATTTGCCTGAAGGATTACAAGACTTAATCCCAACCTAGTCCTCAAGGATAACAGTACCCCACCAATACATTATTTGGTACCCATCAAGTTGCTAGGCTGATCTTGTTTTATTAGGTTATTTTAACTTTCAAAAGTATCATACTACACCGCTTAGAGAGTGCTTGCACTTAAAGCGGTAAGTCTCATAAATAAATAAATAAATAAATAAATAAATAAATAAATAAATAAGCAAGCATGCTCAAAACAAGTATCTGTCTGAAGCATAATAACTCACAGTATTCTGAGGAAAAACATACTTGGCGAGTACAACCAGTCCTTTGTTTGCCATTGAGTATACGGCTATTTTGGGTTACACTTTTCATGGCAGCCATTTTGTGAGAGTGCCCATAACAATACAATTGTTATGGGCACTCTGTTTCAAAAAGATTGGAGATGTATGGACATCTTGATGAAAGCTGACTTAAAGTATTAACAAAATAAGGACTTCAGATGGTGTTTGGAAACAAAATGGGATAACATGTCCCTACAATAGAAAGCTTTGGTTCACACCCTGCTTACCATATTCCTATCTTATTGAAGTTTTCAAATAAACATTTTAAATGGTTCTATAAATAATAAACAATAATCAATAGGGATTTATTTATTTTACCACATTTCCAGGTCTGCTTGACATAGGAATGGGACCATTTGGTGCAGCCAATTCTTTCTTCTTATATATAAATTAAATTTGAAAGTCCTTTGAACGTCAGTTATAAGTAAGGCTGTTGCCGGGGAAACTCAGTAATCAGAGAGACTGATTTTGCCAATATTTCTTTTTCATCAGGACAGTTCGTGGATCACCGGATGTGACTATCTTGGTCAACTGAAGCGTGTTGTTGGCGTGACAGAAAGAACTATCGTCATATGGGATTATAAAACACAAGGGAGTGCCCTGGTATGACACTTAGGGATGGGTATGTAGTAAACATAAGGACATATGTTTTCAGCAACTGCTAGATCATTTAGTAATAAGAAATCAATACATGCAAATGCAAATTCATTCAAAGGTATCATTGTATGGTGTGCCTGTCAACTTTCAAGCTGAAAAAGAAATGATAGAGATTGATATTGTAACTCTTCGGCATGCATAGAGTACCTTAATTCATTATAAAGGGGAATTATATATATTGCATACAGAATAGTTTTGATATTGAAAATGGTTCCCAGAGTTGAGATTTTCCCCATTTCCCATTATGTGTAACAATAAAATTGCCTTCAAGTCAAACTAAACTCCAAGTACTGCTTGGTAGCAATATAGCAATGACTTTCCATTTTCTTCTGGAGATTTTTTTTATTTCTTACTCTTACCTATAAACCTGGGATTCCCTGGAGATCTTCAATTTAAATACCAATCAAGTCTAACCTTGTTTAGTTTCTGAGCCAAGATATGATTTGCCATCCTTTAAAACCTCCTTTGTGTAGATTCAGTAATGTTGTGATGTGATCATATTATGCATGTTACTATTACTGCTCTAAATAGTTGTTTGTTGTTTATGGCACTTGCGTTATACACATTCCTGAACAAACTTAAGCTTGGACACTAGGATATTCTTTTGGACCTAAAGAATTTATTGCATCTTCTGCCTTATCAGCTCATACTAGAAATGGCCTCATATCCCACTCACCTTCAGACTATTATGGGGTACCCCATATGTGCTGCTATAGCTCAAAAACTATAATTGGTTCAAAATACATTTACCATGCGCTTGACTGAAACAAACTATACTGATTATTTTACACCAGGCTTATCTTTTTAAAGTAGCTGCTTTTAAATCTTACATTTTTTTAAATGCCTTAGTTGTTACCTTTTCAGTCCAAGTACTGTTTTAATTATTATGTTCCAGTTGTCAATTGAAACAACAGTACAATTTCTAGGGCTGTTACTTATAATGAAAAATTAGGTGAAAAAAATCATTAATAAAAGAAAGAAAATGTTTTATCGAAAGAATTAGTGGATATAATTTGCAGGAACCTACTGCTTATCAAGTCCCATTATTGATTTATAGAGTATATTGGAGTAGTCTTAATATACAGAGTACAGTTTACCATTATAGATTTAAAATAATTTTATTAGAAAATTTTGCTAGAAGTAGATTGGAGCATTCTCTTCCCATTAGAATCAGGACAAACATTACTATTATACAACAGTCACTAGTATTTATCTTTTCTTTATAAAAGTCTACATAACCTATTTCTAAACAAAGATGGACTACTAAAAGTTCCACAGAAATAGCAGTAAATTTCTATAGTTAGAGGAAAATGTGTAAACTATTTTTAAAGGCAAAAGAGCAAATAGTTTTTTTTAATCCATAGGGAAAAAGCCAGAAGAAAATATTGTCCAGCTATCACAGGCAGGATTAGCAAGTCATATATTTCTGTTAAATAAGCTTTATTAAATAAACTTTAAACAAGTGTATTTTTGAAATTTATATCAGTTCTATATTAACTGTTCTTTCTCCCCAAATTTGTAAGCATTTTCAGGTATAAGAGCTCCCTTTAGAGAACTGTACAATGTTCACAGTTCATAGAAAAAAATAATGAACATTGATGAAGATATCATTATGGAACAAAGTAAATATAATTTAAGGATTGAAACTGAGCCAAGAGCATTGTATCAAATTTCTTCTAAGTCTTTAAGCAAACCAATTACAGTTTTCAGTGAACTAATAAGATAAACGCAAAAGCATATAATGAACAATTGCTTATTTTTCTAGGATAACTGCTGTATAATAAAGCCTATGGAACATTGCCTCCTCTCTGTTTCTGCCATTCCTCACCCATCAGAACTTCTAGTGAAGGATGACATCTTGCTGGGGGATGATGGTGGATATGTTACTTTGTTTACACTTACCAGTGATGACTTTGGTCTAAAACAGACTAAATCTAAAAAGAAACTGCACATGCTGATAATAGATTCTAAGAAATTCAAGAGGTAAGTCCATAATCGCTGAATCTCATTTTTGAAATTTTTAATTTCAAAATTATAATTTTTAAAAGGATGTTGTGAAAGAAAGCAATTATGTCTAATACATGCTGTATGGAGAAATCAGTTGGAATTTTCAGGATGTATTTTCTACTTCAAATATTAAATTTTAAAGTGCTTATAGTGAGGGTTTCAACTAGCCAGCAATGCTATTTCTAAGAATATTCTATTCTTCTTCCTTGTGGTTTTCAGTTTTCTTATTTTTTTCCTGTAAGGATTCAACATCATAACCTAAATTTGGTATTATGGTACCTTTAGCCATCACAGTTAAATATTCCAACTCTGGTAATTGATGTGAGGGTTTTTTCCCCCCTAAAATACATAAAGTGTAAAATATAAGAATCATTCTAGGTCAGACCAAATGTTCAGCACATCTGGAAAGCTCAGAAGACTAGACATGAAGAGGCTATCTTTTTATTATTTATCTTAAACAACTGGAAGTTAAGAATGGTGCATTTATGACATTGAGGCAATGTCCCAAAGATGTTTTTTCAGGAGGCAACTGGACCTTCTTGATTTTCTTTGAAGTCATTTCACTTCTCATCCAAGAAGCTTCTTCAGCTCTGACTGGATAGTGGGGAATGGAAGGATTTATATTCCTTGCGGAAAACTGGTCATTTGCATTCTTTTAGATAGTCATTGAGGCTTTTTGGAGGTTTACCTGTGTCCTCAGGGTCACCTGAGTGGTGCAAATGTGTGTGGGGCCTTGTTGGCTGCAGGATGTTTTCTGCCCTGTGTCCCTTCATTGTTGAAGACAGATGTGCCTTTTAAATTAATGTTTTGTCTTATCACCTCTAGCATTAAACGTAAACTGCATGATGACTGGGTTATAAAAGTAAAATACATTCCAGCTTTGAACTGTTTTGGATCCTGTTCATTGGATAGCATTCATTCATTGGTTTTGGATGACCTGAAAAGACTTGAAGACAATTTGTAAGTTTGTTTGTGTTTTTATATGGCATCCAGCTTAAACTGTGTGACTATTGAAAATATAAATTTTAATTATCCAAAACCAAGCAAAGAGATTGTTCATATAACTGAACAAAGTAGTGTTTACAGTTGGTTCTGATCTGCTTCCTGGAATATGTTTTAAAAAATAAAAACATCCATGGATTACTTCCTCTCTACTCACTATAATGTTTCTTACATTGTCTGGTAATATTGAAAACTGTTACCTTCAGTGACTTTTCATTTGAAAAATCATGCAAGTGATTTTGTCAGTTGCATCTATGATAGAAATTTGAGTCCTAGCACAAAGTCTTCTATAGACTTAGATTCTGAAATCACTTTCCTAGGATTACCATCATATAACTATAGATTTAGGCAAAAAACACTCATTCTTAGGTGTTTGCATGATCAAAAGTCTTGTTACAATTACAGGCCTGTCAGGGAATTTTCGGTACTGAGAGGAGTTAACGCTTTCACGTATTGTGCAAAAGCCAATATCATTGTTACAGGAGGTAAGTAAACCACATTCATCTAAAATCCTTTGTAATTATCTTGAATGCTTCTTGCTTCTGCAAAATATTCACTTAGCACAGATAGTTCTTCCTATTTGTAAGAGAATCAAAATCAGTACAGGGCTTCAAAAGCACTCTATCTTAAGGCCTGGGAGAAGAGCTAAATGTGTAAAGATTTCCAGAACATCATCAAGGTGGCACAAACTGCTACGACAGATTAAAAATATTTTTCTAGAACTTGAGAGGAAAAAAAAACACCCCAAACTAACCAACCCTTCATGTTTGAGGAACAGAAACACAAAACATTTTTTTTTGGTACAATGAATTGTGTAAAACAACTCTCCAGAGTATCCTTATTTTAGAACGCTCTGTTATAGCAACTGTATACTGTACATCACACAAAGATGGGTAACTCAAACTCATCACAGCAATTGAAAATCTTTTCTGACTTTCTAATTACATCTGAAAATAGTTACATCTTGGTTCAATACAGTATATAGACAGAATAAACAAATACTCATTTCGTTGTTGGCTTGGTCAGTCTTATGAACAAATCAATATATATACTACTCAGGAATTATTCAAACATTGTATTTTCTTCCTGGCTGGCTAATTCTACTTCTAGATCTTTCTGGCTGGTCTAGTCTGATGTTTTCATATTTATTGGTCTTCAGACATGTGGATTGGGAATTTAGGAATGAAGCCTTCCACATCTGGAGGGCAGCAAGCTGGGATATATTGCTTTCTATAAATAAAACAAGAAAATAAATGATCCATTTAATTCCAGGAGAAGATAAGATTCTTCGTTTATGGCATCCAAACATCAACACCAAGCCAGTGGGGAAATTGATGGGACATTTATTTAGTATCACAGAGATTGTCACCAATGAAAAGGATCAACATATTATCAGTCTTTCTACTGCAAAGGTATGATATTACCTTTGACTTAGTGAAAACTATATTCTCTGCCAAAAATGACTTTTTTCTGTTATGAATTATAAAATACTATTTTCTGTTTATAGGTTCCAGATCTGAAATAGATGCAGTATAATTCCACTTTCCTGTTCATCAAAGTACATATTATATATTTGTACAGCATCTTTTATTTCTATGGGTTATAATTTTAAACTAAAAGACAAGATGCTGACAATATTAAGAGGATGCTACAAATGTCTCAAATCTAAGAAAAATTCCTCTTATCTTTTATCAAAATGTTTAACAGGCATAACAAAGTTTTCTAAGATATCTAAAACTTGATTTTTAGATTTTTAATTGCATCTTTATTATTTTTAGAAATAACTCAAGATCATGAACAAACCTAATAATCCTTCCTCCAGTAAAGAAGAATATTTGTAGCTCAGGGTTGAAATCAGGAGTCCTTGCATTTATTAATTTATTGCATTTGGCAAGGGGAAATCCTGAATAATTTTAAAAAAGTTAACTCTAAAAAGGCCTTTGGTTACAAGGCTGAGCAAATGCACAAACTATGGAAATTATGATTAAAATATGCATAAGGTTAAAAATTCTATTTCTATTTCTATTTTTAAATAGTTGCTGTCCTAAGTTATTTTCATTTCAGTGTTCTTTTTGGGGAAAAAATGCATTTGCTATACTTGCTTTACATTCCATATTCAAGATTATAAGATATCAATGGCTGCCAGTTTAAGTATGTTTAGATTCAACCTCTTTATTTTTAGCACAGGCACTCTATGTATTTTTGTACAGTAATTCCCTGCATCAAGTCAGAATAACCAATTATCAGGGAAGCTTGGAGTGGTAATTAAGATATATCTGTAGGGTCTTACATTGCCTCTTCCTGCTTTAGTGGCAATTTGGACTATATTTTATTGAGAACATTTGGTATAATGGTTTCAGAAATTATCGGAGCAAATAATGAACGTTTTTTGCCCTTAGCAAAACCACATAGTTGTAGGACTTAAATAATAATGTGATTTTCTTTTTCTACATCTCACTAGTTCCCATGAGCCAGGAACTCATGCTTTGTTTTGAATACCTCTGCTGCCTAAGAAAAATCTTATAGACATTGGCACTTATGTCTAAGTCAATATGCAAAGGGATTGCTATGTCAAAAGACTTAAAATGATTCAGTTATAAATAAATAAATCTAAATAATTTGACAGAAATAGACAGTACTTTTTCTTCCATTCAATCGTGTCCAATTCTCAGAGACTGTCTGGATAAGTCCCTGCAGTTTTCTTGGCAAGGCTTTTTTTTCAGAAGTGGTTTACCATTGCCTACATCCTAGGACTAAGAGGGAGTGACTGGCCCAAGATCACCCAGCTGATTTTGTATCTAAGGCAGGACTAGAACTCATGGAGTTCTGGTTTCTAGCCTGCTGCCTAACCACTGTACCAAACTCACTCATTGTTTATAACCTCACATAAAATGATAATGACTTAGCTATATACTAATGTATTTTATTATACTTCTTTGAGTGTGGTTTTTATATATATATAAAAAAGCTCCTTTGCCTTATATCCCATGCACTGCATTTAACTCCGATGTGCTCACCTACGGTAGCATGTATAATGGATTCTCTTTGCAGATTCTGATAGGGCCCCAGGGCAAATTATGTTTTTTTCAGAACTCAAAGAGTGACTTCTGTTGCTGTGAATACTGCAGAGGTTCCGTAGGGCAGTTTACTATAGTCACCTCCAAATGTTCCATACAAATCTACGGGAACCCTTGTATCAGAATTCAAACAATCATGCATAGATGCAGTTAGAAAGAGAGTCTGGCACTGTGCATCTGGCACTGTTCATTTCCCAGCAGTGCTCACAGCAACCTTGGTTAAAATTGTTCATATTTGAAAACTGACACTTGAAACCTTTATCCCAAAGTGAGGACAGAAAGCCAAGTAGAAGGTAGAAAAATTGCCTTTGTCAAATTTTTGTCTATGTAAATATACTGTAACATGCTGCAGAACAAAATGCTGCTTTATGAAATAGTAAGGCATTTGGAATCAGTCTGTCATTCAATAATAGAAAATAAAGACAAAGTCTTCTAATCAGGCTATGCTTAACTGTTTCAAGATAATCCAAGATTGGCTAGGTGCTATTCCTGCTGTCTATAATAGTGTGCCAAATGCTGCCCCAAAGCCCTCCTCTCCTTAATTTCAAAAGAACTGAGTCAAAATTCTGACTTGATAATACTATATACATTATACTTCAGAGAGAATTCAATTGAAGGCTAATGTAGACCCTACTGTTAACTCACTAACCACAATTTGTGTTTATAGATGATATTGAATGCTGGGCCTTAAGGTCTCAATTTAAAAGGATGGCAGCTTTCCATTTAGAAAAATGAAGAATATTATAGTCTTGTTTTGTTTTGTTTCAATTTACAGAAATATAGCTTAAAGTGATTTAAAAAGCAATAAGTTACTAACTTTGATTTAACATTATTTAAGTTGATTTAAATTGCTTAAACTATTTCATGTAAATACTCATTCTGGGTATAAAGAATAATGTATAAAAGAAAGTTTTTAAGTCATATGTACTCTGAAACAAGCTTCAAGTTGTTCTTTTCCAAATGTTCTGTTGTGTTTTATTCCATGAGATAAAGTTAAATTATTATTATTTCTAAATAGGAAAACAGACATCATTTTTCCCTATCTTAACTGATAGAAGGCATTGAGATGTTCAGAAAATAATTCTCTCCTCTCCTAATTTGTGTGCTGTTCAATCCCAGAAAGCTCTAGACTGCCTCCTTGCTATCCCGCTGTCAGTTAAAGCACTCTCTTCCTATGCCAGATGGAATAAGTGGGTCAAAAGCTTTCCTAAAGCCCAAGAAGACATAGTTAACTGAATCTTTGTAGAAAGAGAGTTTCAAAGTGTGGTCAACTCCTTCCAAGGTCCTGTCAGATGGCAGACCTGGAAAGAGCTGACTCTGAAATGTGTTTGAATATTAGTAGCTTGGGTTGGTAGTTGGGCTGTTGGTTTGGGCTCCGAGCTTGGCAATTTGGTTGTAAATGTTTCATCACAATTCAAGGAGACACCATCAGTGCACTTTGAATTGGGTTCGTCTGTCAGAACACTGGCCCTTAAATACCTTTTTATGTGATGCAAATTGGTATGAATGTTGTTTGTTAAGATATTTCTGAGTCATAGTCTGATTTCGGACTGTTTGATTGGCTGGTTGTTGTTGCTGGGCCATAGTCTTTGGTGTTAAGTACCGTCTGTGTGATGCAAATTAGCATTGGTGTTGTTTGCCTGGATGCTTCTGAGTCATGGTCTGGTTTCGGATTGTTTGGTTTGGCTGGCTGTAGTTATTGGTCCGATTTCTTGTGAAGGGTTATGATTTTTGTTGCTGCGTGATGGGGTTGTTCATTTTTAAATACTACTTTTGTGATCTAACTAGAGCTGACTCTACTCAATCTGGTTTGATGTGCATAAAAATACGTAAGAAGGTAGTCCCTCACATAATCAGAGCTGAGCTTTGTAGGACATTAAAGATGAAATCAGGACTTAGAATTGCATTTGGAAGCTGACCAGACTAAAATCAATGGCATGCAAAATGCTTTCCATATTAGATTCCGATATGAATTTCATTATCTCAACCCAGCTTTCTGGTTCTGGGAAAAAAGTGGCATAAACAGGTAGGTTGTGGCAGATGTGCTAATACTAAAAAGCTATACCAGTAATAGGCAGCTGTCTGGCTCCCAGCATAAGCTCAGAATATGAACAGATTAACTCTTTATCAAAAAGCCCCCAGAACATTAGCAATTTAATAAATTGCATATGATCTTCAGACAGCCTTTTCAAATAAAAGTGTTTTTAAGCCAGACATTTCACAAGGATATAAAGTATTATAGCATAGCTGTAAATATTATAAAACATTTTAAGAACTACAGTCCTATCAAAATATAATCACGGTTACTCAGGGGATGGAAATACCTTTATGTCTTCTATTACCTATTAATTTGCTACTGGCTTACACAGTATGAGAAGTGTTTATTATACTTCATGAATACAGTGATCAGCCTGGGTTTTAGATTGAAGACCAGGTATGGATATTTGGCAAGTTCAGTGATGATACAGTAACTTCTTGCCACAATTAGTCATCATTATAGAACTTTGTTTTGTCTGCTGTACTGTCTCCGTGCCAAAATTCAAGTATAATGAGATATTAAACTTCTAAGGCAGTTACTGCTTCTGAATAAAAGGAATTCATTTTCTTAGGAATCAATCTGATTACACCCAGGTAGTCTTTTTCTGATTTACATTTTCACATATATGAAAAAAAGTGCAAAATAACATTGGTTTTTAGTCAGTCCAAGGTACCATTAAATCAAAAAGTCATTATTTATATTCTTAGGAAGCTTTGGCAATCATAACCCCATCTGGAAAAAGGAGACCTGCCTTTTGCCATATATAGGCCAGATACTTTCAGACTGGAATATTGTAATGTCTACCTGAGTGTGGATCACCAGTTTGCTGCTATCAAAATAAAACTAGCAATCTGAATTTTAGTTGTACAAAAATAGTAATCTGTGCTGGGTTTGTTGCTTTCACCTTTTTCTGAATATCCCTTCTCAGTGTTACTGAGCTTACACAGCCATTAGCCAAAAGGAAAATAAAAATATTGAGCAGGATTCCTCCTCTCTCCCAGGGATTCAGTTTACAATGATTGGAAACAGACTAATTTTTCCATTCCCCTCAGTGACCTTGTTAAGTAGTTGTTAATAATTAGCTTCTCACAACATTTTAGCTCTCCACTTTTCCTAATCCATAGCTCTGCTCTCTTCCGTACAAGTGGAGAATGGTGATCCTGATCAGTCAATCTTTATTGTAGTCTCAGTTCAGTACAAAAAAAATTCCTGATCCATGTGTCTTGTCAGGTTGTGTCTGATGCTGTTCTGTCTGCAGTGCTTTAATGGCAGGGGGCTTGGATCCTTCTCTAATACAAAAGGAGTCAATATGCCTATGGTTAATGCTCAACTTATACTCTGGACATCGAGTTTTACTCTATAGTTTGGTGATGAAATTAATTGAATTTGGGCTGATCATTTTCACAGAATCGTGAGACGAAAATAAGGTATGTTCTAATGTGTGTAATAGAATAACAGAATACAAATATAATAAATATGTTGGGATAAGCAAACAATAGGAAGAACATTAATATGCATATCCCATTCTTTTATTCTGTTTTGTATATTGTACCAGGGAAGTACAACATATTTTGATCATTTTGTTGTGGCACTTAATTATCGCACATATTTCTTGTCGTTTCTTCAGATTTTCAGAGTGTGGGATATCCAGACTCTTTCACTGATGCAAGTGTTCCATGACGTTCAAGGAGCACACAGAGAGTCACAAATTTTTGCTATGGCATTTGATAATAATCATGGAACACTTATTACAGGTAGGTATGAGAAAAATATATGGCTATTGATTATAAACAGGCATGCCGATATGCTGGATCAGAACCAACAATATCTTTCTGATAATGAAAGATAATATTTTAAGTTAAAGATCAGTTTCTCCATCTGTTCTGCAGTCTTGAGAACTAACTCCCCCCCCCCAAATATTCTTCAAAACATTTGTAAGCCCTTCAAAGCAGTATTGTTCAAGGAAGTAATGGTAGAAAAACTAATTTGCATGATGGAAGTCATAAAGTAATAACACTTTTTAGAAATCTATTACATAAGTAAGCATAGACTATTGTGCACAGTTTGAGTCATCATGCTTCAATTGTATTATTGGACATGAGGCATTAAAGAATTATCAAGATATTTAACAGAAGCCTGGGTGACTTTGCTATGAAGAAAGGAGAACATAGGAGAATTTGAAAGGAGAAAAAGACATGTAAAGGGGACATTGAATGTATAAACATACCTATTCTGGGCAGAGTAGGGAATTCATCAGAGGTATTTTAGTCTGGCTCCAAAATATTGAAGTATACATGCTGTAGACATTCCTGTGGACATCTAGTACATAAACAAGCAAGGCAACATGAAGACTATTGTGCCTTTACTTTGCAGATGTGGTAATGGTGTATCCTACATTCTCTCTTTATCTGGCAGTCCACATAACAGAAAAACATCATTTTCTGGATGACCAGCTCAGCTAGGTCAATGATTCATGAATGTAGCCAACATAGCTTGTATCCCAAGCTATGATTCTCTATGCCTAAACTTGCATGCAGAGACAGAATTTTCACTTTTGTATCCTGAAATATCTGCATGCAAGGCTGAGCTCTGCAGAGATTTATTGCCCAATCTGGTGTGAAACCTGACAATGTCATCCCATTCTCATAAAAAGATTTCTCCCGCACCATTTACTTTCCTGCTAATCTGAGATCTTTCAGAAATCCACAGAGACTCAGCCACTGTATCATCATCACATTCTGTTGCATTAGCTGAACATGAGATATTTTCTCTGCAGTTTGCATGCCACAAGATTTCCCTTTTTAGCACTAAGGGTTTTGTTTTTTGATTTGTAAAATAGAAAAAAAGGAAGTAGAACTATGGCCTCCAGCCTGTCAAATATTCCCTATCCTTGCTATAGACAAATAAAAAAATCATCTCTAATATTCTCTTGTATAAATTTTAAGGGTTAGATTTTTGAACGTGTGCATGAAACAAGTTTTTGGAAGAGTAAATGCAATACTACAATGCACAAAAAACTATTGATAATTTAATTTGATCAGACATATAATATCTTCAAGCTACATATAGTAGCAAGCATATGCAATGTGCTTCCTTGAAGTCAGTCTGCCATCAAAAATTTGAAATGGAATCTTAAGTATTTTCTAGATTTAATGCAATTTTGTAATATCCAGGATCATCCGTCATTGATATTTATCCTCTCACTCGGATGATACAAGATACTAAGCAAGTCCCCCAGACCCATGAAAGGAGCATCAATGTGCTGGTTTACAACAAAGTTTTTCACCAAATTCTTAGTATCTGTTCTGAGTCTATAGTAAAAGTGAGTATAAATCTTATGAGTCTCACGGTTGTAAAACAAAAGAATTTTTTTCTGTTTTGACAAATATATTAACTAGGGTATTCTTATCACACTCACATGCAATTTTAAAAGCTATTTTGAAACTTGTCTTTCCCAAAGATGGATGAGGTGGGATGAATAAATTACTTCATTTCTTTCATTTGGGGAAAACAGCTGAATTGCCAGCTCAAATGAATTACTGATCTTTTTCTATTAAATCAAGGAGAAATTGGAATACTTACTTTCAGTATTCCTTCTCAAACTCAATCAATTCTTATCATTCTTCTATCTTAATATTTAATATATACATTTTAAAAAAGTAATACCTGTTTGGGTTATTTTTGGAACCCCTTGTAGGTAGTTTACTGAATTGCATATAATCTGTTATTTTTAGGTCTGGGAATTGGAAACAGGACAGCTAATATACCAGATTGAAGATGCCCATGGGCCAGGAGTGGAGTTGACATGTGCAGCAGTTGATAAAAATGGATTTCATCTTGCTACTGGAGCATGTGATGGTAAAGTAATGAAATTTTAAAATAATTTGCTGTATTTTTCAAAGAGCCACAAAGCTAGTTAAATAAATTGTGCTTTCTGTACTCCATAGTTTTATAATAAAGATCAGTTGAGAATTCTTTTGGTCTTATAACATTGTCTATGCACCATGTACAGTAGTGGCAAATAGCCCTTAATAAAAAATTGGAGAGTAGACTTTTCACATAATCAGTATTGTTCTACATGTATTTCATATAGGAAAGTGCAAACTTTGTAGTCAGTAGCATACAGTTATTAGTTACTTCTATGAAGAGTGATATTCTTTCTGCTTTATTACACGTATAGGAACTGTGAAAGTATGGGATTTTGGAAGTGGGCAGGTACTTAAAATTTTGCCCTTAGACAAGGAAATCACAGTCAATGAACATTGGCTGATGCAGATGGTGTACCTGAAAGCCAGTGAGAGTAAGCATGTGATCCTAGTCTTGGAATACAGTGGGAGGATCAAAATTGTTCAGGTTTGAGTTTTGATTGTTACATTTTCTATTTCATTTGCTTCACTGTTCTCAATTTCAAAAGTCAGGGAACCCAGTCTCTCTTAACTATGGCTTTCCACATTTGTTAGGACTTCAGCTCCCTACAACCAGGTTTGCTATTAAGCTAGCTGTAATCCCAACATTAATGATCATTCATTCGGCGACCAGTAGCACTGAACAAGGAGCCTTATATGATTCATATCATGTGATCATGATTTAGGCATTTGAAAATTGCAGCATCCTGGAATCACACGATCACCATTTGCGACCTTCTCTGTCGTCTTCCAATAGGCAAAGTCAATAGGGAAGCCAACAAGAGGTTGCAAATGATAGCCACTGCTAGAAATACTTTGAAACCTCCTCCCAGAGGGGAGCAACAGAAACAGACCATGATATGGGTGGGTGAGGTAGCAACAAGGTCTTGGTCCTAATTACCACAGTTAACCGAGAACTCCTTTATGTATATGTTCTTTTAAAACTATATATATGCCAACCCTCCTCGTCAACTTATAAATAATCATATACAATAAGTTCTAAGTTAATAAGTCATTAAATGCTAGCACAAACCCTCTAAACTGGCCTCTCAATGGCCTGGGTTAAAAAAATATATCTTTAAGCTTCTATCAGCTGCCACTTCACGCTTGCCTTTTGCTGTTGCTCAATGCCAGGCTGCCATGAAGTCTAGGGGGCCTGGATGGGAGGGGGGAGGATTCCAGGAAAATGAAAAGTTCACACTAGCTCCCTGAAACACGGTTTCAAGGTAGACCGGCTGAGAACAGAATACAGCTGCATACCAACCCACATTTGAAGCAACCCTTCTGAAAACATCTTTGAATTTGAATTTGGGCATTATGGGGGCAGCATGGGGAGATACCTAGGGTAAGGGAGGTTAGACTTGGGGATTTTGGCATGCAAATTTCAGTTCTGGCTTTGCACTATTGTATTGCACTTGACCTCTAGGAAACTATATATTTCTTAACAAATGGAATTAAGGATCATTCTTAAGGCTTAAGCTGAGGCAGGTCTGACAACTCCCTTTTAAACTACAACAATTCAGTCTTAACTTGCTGAAACCTCAAGAGAAAAATAAACCTTCCACTTTCTTGGTGCAGATATATCATGTTGGAGCCTCTGAAATAATGTATCAAGAAAATGCACAACTATTTTCAGTCCCTAATGATTTATTTAATAAGGGCATGTTAAATGTATTTAATCCCCATGTGGCTACATATTAAATAAGAATGCAAAATGTTTCCTAAGCATTACGAACAGTATTTTTATTGAAAAGTATCTTTTTAATCATCTAATTTAGGCTTTTTAGAAGAGACTCTAGAAACACGTTTTTCAACAGATGCTAACTTCAGTCATTTCTCTTGAAGACATTATGTTAGAGTTGATTTAATTAATTAAGCCTCAAAAGCTTGTTGAACTCAGAACTGCCTCTTGGATTGCATCCCCTTACAATGCTGCATTCAGTTTTTGACATACTGCTTGCTGATGACTATTTGTGCTGACCAGAAACTAGAAGTCTTTGTTAATGATAGCAATGTGTTGTGCAGCCCTCTACCTCAGTTTTAAAACTATCAAAGTATTCTACATAAATGATTATTTTGAAGTGAGTCCATCTTCCCAAAGGTAACTCTGTATGAAATGTCCAGATGTGAATGTCAACCAGAGGTAAGATTGTTCATAGCCTCAACTGCTAATCTTGGACAAATGTTCTAACATAAATATGTTTGGTGTATACAATATGCAAAGTAGCACACAAAGCTAGAAATTTTGTCAGGTTGATTATCGGTTAATCTTCTTCAATTCTTTGTTCTCCTAGGCTAATCAAGGTGAAACTTACATGTCCATAACTTGGAAACTTCCTGAAGCTGTGTCATTTGCTTTACAAGGCTATCCACTCATTTCCCTTAAACTGTCTCCCAATGTCAAAAAAAATAATGGTTTTTTTCCAGACGTTGAACTATTGCTTGATACAGATCTCACAAACTCAAATGCTGAGGTGAGGAACAATTGTATTTCCAGATATGTTTTAGCAAACATGAAGAAAGAGAACATAATTCTAAGAAAGTTATTTGTATCTGAGAGCCACAGCAAAAGTAAGCAGTCAAAAAGTTAATTTTTGCTTTCTATAAGTTCACATATGGACAAAAATTGTTGGAAGGAATTGTGAAGCTCTTGATTGTCTTTCTGTATGTGTTGTTTGCCTTTTTTTAAAAAAAACGAATTTTGTTGTTTTTTTTTTTTGATTCTTAGAACAAAGTGCTTAAGACACACCGTGGTGCTGGGGTAATCAAACATCCAGAAATAAAACCATATATGAATAACTCAAATCAATACATTAAATATTCCCTCTCTATTTCCCTCAATTAACCTAATACATTTAAAATAATTTAATTTAATTTAATTTTCTAATTTAAATTTCTAACAATCCTAAACCTGTTTTTGAGCTTTGTGAATTTACAATTAGCATAATCAAATTTGACTTTAAAGAAACAAATTATCAATTCAGGTATCCCTTCCAGATATATTCTAGATCTCAATCTCTTAAATCCTTAATTTTATTACAAATCTCATTTATTTCTTCTTCCACTACACAATATATCTCCTAATTAAAATAAAATATTAGTCTATCCTATACATATATAATCCATCAATCAATCTCTTTAAGATAACAAAATAACAAAGTAATATCAAACCTTAAATCATTTCAGCCCATTGGATCAAATTCAAAGTTCATCCAGTTAATTATCATACCTAATAACATCCATATTGTCAGGCAAAAACATCATCTTACTATTTAACATACTCAGTTATTAAATCAATCTAGATCTAAAACGCCTCTTCAATTTTCTTCATTCCATTACATAATAGTTTTTATACAAATAAATCTATTATTCCAAAGAATACATTCTTAATCTATTTAAAATATATATTCTAATAATCACCCATTTTTTCTTACTTCTAACTCCAAATCTTAATCCTTAACTCAATCCATAATTATACAGTGCCTTTGATCCATCACATATAATTTTGAATTTAACTTTTCAGTTTTATTCTGGCCTTTTTTTTGTGCCAGGCAGGTTTTCATAACAAAGCTTCCCTTTCAGCCAATAAGTCTCTCTTTATCGCTTGTAGCATCCTTTGAGACAGTAAGAAGCATCCCGTCCTCTGCATTGGGCGTCTATTTCTCTTATTCTTGAAACTTTGTTGCTTTGAAGGCTCAAATCTCAGTCTTTGATTTTTCTGATCCTCAAAGGTATAGATGAAATGCTTGTAGGGTAAAATAAATTCCTCTTTAGTCTCAATTAAATCCTCTTCTAATATGTTTTGGTTTGTAGAATAGTCAGATGTTGTCTGAAAGTCAGTTTGAAGGTTTGAAATACGGCTTCTGACTCTTAATTCTGTAGAAATCCCTTTGATTGTAGCATATATTTCTTCAGTAGCTTCGTAGATCTTTTCCAATATAAGTTTATAGTTCAATTGTGAATAAGGTTTCTCCATTTTAATAATAATTGAAGAGAGTGCCCTTCTTTTTCTTTTAGTGGAGGCTGTATTTAATAAAAGTAAGGCAGTATCCATCCCCACAGTTCCCACAGCTGCATCCACTTATCTTTTCTCTTCAAAAGTAATTTGGCCAAGTCCATCTCAGGCCAAAGTCCATCTCATCTCCAAACAGTAACCAGCAATTGCAATATTAACTTCTCACCACTAGATGACCTCAGTAGAATTAAAAATCTTTTCCAGACACCATTTGTTTCCTTTTTCTATCTTTTAGAGAAAAAGGTGGAAAAAGAAACAATCTTCCAGTATAATATGATAGTAGAGCTCTTTTTTAAAAAAGGGGTTTTCTGTACCCCAAATAGATAAGAATAAAGTGTAGTCTTTAAACTTTTTTATTTTAACCTTTTTGTTCAGCGCCTTTCTTTCCACACATACCAAAGCTGCTTTTTCAAGATGGGGAAATGATTCCAACAGAGCTTTTTACAGGCAAAAAAAAAGAACAAAGTAGGGTGAAGAGAGGAGGAGAAGGGGTCTCATCCGGATCATCCGCGGTGGGTCTATTCACGCTTAGATGTTGCTGTGACTTTTGGCTGGTACAACAGGGTAATCGACCATCTTACAGGACAATCTTTTGTTCCGTCGGCCCTCAGGAAATAGCTGGAGCCACGAGAGAAGCTGCCACCCTCCCGCAGTCTCCAGCAAACCTCCTCCTCGGTGGTCACCCCTCCAGTGCGACTTTCGATCCACAAGGGGTCTACCGGCGAAGAAAAACCCAGCCGATGTGGAGACAAGTCTCCAGACACAACCAGAGTCACCATGAACCAGAACCGGAAGTCTGTTGTTTGCCTTTGATTGTCTATCTGTTCTGGTCAGGTATTCTTTCCCAATCTATGTCCGTCACATGCTTTGGCATTGCAAAATCAAGATGGTTCAGTATTCTAGGAATTTCAATCCCAACATTCCAAAGCACAGATTGGGGGACTCTGTCCTGCTATAGATGGATATAATATAGATAAAAATGGTTAGAATTGTCAGTCTACTACACATTTTCTCCACCTCTGGGTGAATGTGTGATTACTTCTTGTATTATGTGCTACAGGCTTTTGTATAATTAATCCAAGATTTAAAAATGCATTCCAATTGTGTTGAATCTCAAGCATTCTTAGGAAATGAACAACTACTCCAGCAAGTCTGGTTTAACAGTATAGCACTTTTGTTGATTGGTCCCATCTATTGTTATAGTATTTCTATAAGATTTGTATTAAAAAAGAAATCCCTTGATCCAGGAGACCTGTTGAATTGTAAGTCAGTCTCAAATATTTTCTGTCTGGATGATACTATGGGAGGCTATGGACTTGCTAGTTCTCCAGTTTGACCATTTTAAATACCATTTAAGTTCTTCTGGATAGTTCGGTAGAGTTGGATCTTGGAATCATGATTTGTGATGTTTCCTTTATTTTAGGTCAGAACCCAAAAATAGTGCTGATATTTTATAACTTCCAACATATTCTTCACGTTTTTCAATATTTGTCTGAAATCACTGAAGGATGTCATGTAGTGTTTTGGAATCAGTACCATCAATATGCTGATTATACCCAAGTCTATTTCTCATTATCATTGGACTTCAAGAAAATAACTATTGCCTTTATTTACCTAACTGCAATGGCCAAATGAGAGAGATACTTAAACTAAATCCAGAGAATACAGAGGGGTTGTTGGCTAATGTGCACTTCCCCTGAAAGAGCAAGTTCATATCTGCCAGTTCTCCCTTCAGTCTGAGTTTTCTCCAGATTCACAGCTCACAGATGTAGCAAATAAGACATCTACACAATTATACATTTGTACTAATAATGACCATTCCTGAGCCTTCTGAGTTTGCAACAATTATCTACACCTTGCTTAGGTCCTGATTGCATTATACTCCAGAGCTGGAAAACTGTGGAAGTCTTGTACTAAAGATCTGCACCAATGGCCAATTTTCAGATATAAGTTTAGAGTGCTGAAATTAATTAAATCGCTTAGGACATACATATCTAAGCAACAGTCTTTACTCCTATTATAAACTGGTGAAGAGATAAAAACTGTAGAAGAGGCCCTTGTAAAACTGCTGGTGCTTTAAAAGGCTCACTTTTATAGTACATAAGAGAGAGAAGGCCTTCCGCATTCCCAAGCTAATCGCACCCTCTAGGAACTGGCTTTTGAGTCTATACATACCCTTGTTCTATTTGAAATAATGGTGAAGAGGTAAAGAAGGACAATTTCAGTCTCTTAAATTGTTAAGTATGTTTGTTTTAAAAATATCCAGTACAATCAATTGCTATGGATTGTTCTGTAATTAACAGGTAGTTGTAACAGCACTAATAATAATACATTTCATTCAATAACAGCTCCTCAATTTAATTATAAATCTTTTATGTATTTTTCAGCTACCTCCTAGGATTGAAGTAAAGTGCTTTGATTTGTTAAAAGTAGAAGGTTACAGTTTGTTAGCTACTGCAAGTGCAAATGGTTCTATCATCATGTGGGATTTTGAAGCTGCCACAGCCAGACACATGTAAGTAAAACACTTTATCATATAATGGATGTGGAGAGGTAGTGTTAATACCCAGTTATGTAAGATAAATGCTGTTTTAGTGTTCAATCTCAAAACAGTTCCCAATGTGAGAAAAGGAGAAATAGAAGTATTAAGCTAGGAATAAGCTACAGTACTGAAACCAGAGACAAATCTGAAGATTGTTGATTTGATTGTTGGTAAATCCCTTTATTATAGGCACTCCATTTCACTAACCATATGTAGACAGATATCCTGTTCATAATGATAGGCTTACTTGAGTCATGAATGAAGCTATGGTGTCATCCAGTCAACATAAACTAATCAATGGTCTAGACAAACCAGCCCAGGGTTGATTTGGGTTAAACTCTCTTTCCCAAATCAACCATATTTTGAGAAGAGCAGAGGAACATTTACAGATTTATTTTTTCATTCTGCTTCTGGCTTGGAAACAAATTAAACTAATCCCACAAAAGAGGACTAATCTAGCAACTCCCTCTCGCTTATTGATTTACTTTTAATCCTAGCCCCTCATGAGCATATGGGGCAGGAGCGAAAAAGAAGCAGAAAAAGGAGATAAAATTTTTCCAACTCTCTCTCTCTCTGCTGCTGCTGCTCTTGATTGGGCCACCATAGATTTTTTTTTCTATAATCAAATGTGGCAGGAAGCTATAGCTTCCCAAAGAGACTTTCAAATGTGGCTTTTCCCTCTTTGACTGGGACAACCATGGAAGCATCCAGGGTCGAGTCATTTCCCTGGGATAATCAGCCATTTTGTGTCAACCCAGCCTCACTATACATGACCTGTCCTTCAAGACTGGAGCCAGGAGAAGTTCTCCAGCTCTCTTCCCAGTGTGAGTGATTAAAAAATGCACTGTCAGAAATGATGCTCTCAATTATTATCTCCTGTGCATAACCTGAGTCACAGACAAATGGCACTGAATGGGTGAGATGCACAGAGGAGGGAACTTTGGGTCAGTAAAGGGCAGTGTGGTTCAGCAACCTATTTGCCTCCATCCAGGCTTAGTTCACTGGGCAGAGCCAACATGCCAACTCTTGTTCTTGCTTGTTCAGAAGGGAGAAAAAAATTCTAGGCTGTTGGTTAGTTTTGCTGCAGTATAAGATATAGCTATGTTTCTCATCTCCAAGAGTTTCAGTGGAATTGTTCCCTTCAGCATATTTTAAAATTCTGCACTAAAGGCAGAAGAAATAACTTTGGCTTTCTGGACACTATTTAGATGCACTTCAAAACCATTTGTCCTGGAACTACAGTACCTGTAAATAACTTCTTTGCTGCTTCATTCTTCTCTGCTTCAAAGAATATTTATACAAAGAATGGATCCCAGACAGTACCATGCCCTTATTTTTCTCAGCAGTTTTGCTTTTAATCTTCATGGTGAAAGTCTCTTGGAAATGCTAATTGAGATTGCTTTCCTCCTACTAAAGTGGATGAATAATTCTTATCCCCGGGCTAAGAAAGCAAAACTTCTAAAGAGAGAATAGATTGATAGGCCCCCAAGCAAATGTCCTCTTTTGAAAACCAGTCCCAAAAGAGAGTTGAGTGCGTGGGTGTGTTTTTAAGTCACAAGAGCTCATTCTTACAATTACGGGATTTTAAGCAGCATTAAAAAAAGTATCCCAAGCACAAGCAAGATTGCTGCAGAAGTAGGTGTTTGTAGTTTAGGCAGATTTTATTGAGTTCAGTGAAGGTCTATGTATTATTGAAAAGCTAAATTTGGAGATTTAGTAGTGTAAAGCATTAATTCACTGAGTTTTAACTGGAAACTTTCAACCCCAGGGGAATCCTACAATGACAGTCTATGAATTTTTGAGATGAGACAGTTATTTGTCTAATCTCAGCCATTTGTCTGAAGTGGTATAGGGTTTCCTGCCTGAGCAGGGGGTTGGACTAGATGACCTCCAAGGTCCCTTCCAACTTCTTCTTCTTCTTCTTCTTCTTCTTCTTCTTATTATTATTATTATTATTATTATTATTATTATTATTATTATTATTATCATCATCATCATCATCATCATCATCATTTTGAAACTGTAACTGAAACTGACTTACAAAGTCTTTAAAATGTATAATTATTCTGGCCATACTTTGAGGGAGGAAAGATGTGCTATTTAACAATATATCTAACAAATGTGGAAAAAACTACAGGCAAAGTATCTTCATTTTCAGATTCAAAACTCAACATGCTATTCACTCAGATAGATCCAAATTACTTAAAATCAACTGGTTACTATTCCTGTATCGAGATACTATGTCAGAGAGGTAAGTCAGTTCTTTATGAAATACTATACATTATCTTAGCTGGGCGGAGAAGCTATACTACTTTTTCTTTCTATAAAGTAGGGAAAAACCTACATTTGAATAGTCACATTCTGTTAAATTCCTAGTTATCTGAAGTTGTTTTGTAGTCCTAAGAGATTGTAGACATCTCTAAATTCCTTTGTTTCTTGAGCATTGCTTCTTGTAGAATAGAATAGAGCTGGAAGGGACCTTGGAGGTCTTCTAGTCCAGCCCCCTGCTCAAGCAGGAGAGTCTATACCATCTCAGACAAGTGACTGTCTAGTCTCTTCTTAAAAATCTCCAGTGGTGGAGCAGCCACAATTTCTGGAGGCAAGCTGTTCCACTAGTTAATTGTCCTCACTGTCAGGAAGTTTCTCCTTAATTCCAGGTTGCTTCTCTCTTTGATTAGTTTCTAACCATTGTTTCTTGTCCTGCCCTCCAGTGCTTTGGTGAATAACGTGACCCCCTCTTTTTTGTGGGAGTCCCTCAAATACTGGAATACTGCTAGCATATCTTCCATATTTCTTCTTTTCTTTAGACTAGCCAAACCCAAGTCCTGCAGCCGTTCTTCTTATGTTTTAGTCTCCAAGCCTTTGATCATCTTAGTTGCTCTTCTCTAATTTTTTTCCAAACTCTCAACATCTTTTTTGTGATATGGTGACCAAAATTGACTGCAGTATTCCAAGTGTGGTCTTACTAGGGTTTTATAAAGCGGTATTAATACTTCACATGATCTTGATTCTATGCCTATGTTTATACAACCCAGGATATTAGCATTTTGGGCTGCTGCTGCACATTGCTGGCTCATAGTCAAGCGATCGTCCACTAGGACACCAAGGTCCCTCTCACAGTTACTGTTTTTAAGCCAGATCTCACCTAATCTGTACTTGTTCCTTTGATTTTACCTGCCCAAATGTAAAACTTTGCTTTTCTCCACAATGAAACTCATTTTGTTGGATAGGGCCCATTGTTCAAGTTTGTCAAGATCTTTTTGGATCCTGAGTTTGTTTTCTGGGGTGTTGGTTACTCCTGCCAGTTTGGTATCATCCACAAATTTGATGAGTTCTCCTTCAATTCCCTCATCTACATCACTGATGAAGATATTGAAGAGTACTGGGCCTAAGATGGAACCATGTAGTACCCACTGTTTACTTCTCTCCATGTGGATATAGTGCCATTGAGGACTACTCGTTGAGTACAATTTGCCAGCCAGCTACAGATCCATCTGATGGTAATGTTGAATTAGTAGACAGAATATGATATTGGATAGCCAACTTTGATCCCCATAAATCAGTTTAGATTTTCACTACTAATGGCCACTGCTTGCTAAGGGAAAAAGTTACTCTGCATGTTCTTACATGGAATGGGACAACTTGCCATGGCCAACCTGTTACGGCAAACTTGCCACAGTCAATTGGCCATGGAACAACTTGCCACATGACAATTCGACAAATATAAAAGTTAAATTAATTTCAATGGAACCATGGCCAATAATAATAAAAGAAAGAAAGTCAACCCAGAAATACAAGTTACAATAATTTTGATGAAAATATGGTCAACAATAATAAAATGAAACAATTAATACAACATTTAGTTGTCCCGCAGCAAATGGTGTTGTCCTAGACCCATTCTTACATGCATATGGATCTCTCATACTATTTCTTCTTGACATTAGCAGTGTTATTCAGAGTGCAAAAAAGGACTAAAAACAGTAAGCCAGAAAAATTAAAATTATTAGGTTAAAAAAAGACAAAGAAAACTAGCCCAAACTAGTTTCCATAGATAGAATTCACTGAACTTCTCCATATTTTCTATCCTTGCAAACCATCCTTCATTCCACCATGTACCTTCTTCCATTCATACATTGCCTTCTCATGGCCTTCTGTTTCAGGATCTCGTGAACTTCATCCAGTGAGAACTTTCACAGTCTCTCTCCTGGTCAGTTGGCTCATTCACTCTTCCTTTCTAGATTTGTTTTTCAATTTAATTCTTCTTAATTCTGTCTACATCAAGGGTCCCCAATCCCCAATCCATGGACTGGGACCAATCCGTGGCATGCCAGCAACTGGTCCACGCAAACAAGCAAAGCCCCATCCGCAGATACAGGCAGCACACAAAACCACGCCCCCTCGGGTACATGGAAAAATCTCTCTCCACATAACTAGTCCCTGGTGCCCAAAAGATTGGGGACTTCTGGTCTACATGATCAAATCACTCTAACAAACTTCTTATATACGGTATTTGTCAGCTATTCTTGTGTTCTATTCACATTCATTCAGCATCCATTAATACTTGCTTTATCACCCACACATCTTTGACTACATTTCAATTTACTTTTGTTTCTCCTAACTTACCCAATTTTCAATTCCATGTTACAAAGTGGGCAGAAATATATTCTTATAAACATTTTTTCTTTTTAAAAAAACATTCAATTTGTTAAAAAAAACAGACACATATTCCCTATAACTTTTCTACCAATATTTCCATGCCTTAAGATTTCTCCATCCATTTTCCTATTTTTAGGAAACACTCTACTAAGTACACAAACTCAATTACTGGCTCCATTTTTTCAAATGTCTACTTAACTTGCAAGTAGCTCATTCCATTTTCTCTCTCAGACAAAATTATCTTGGTCTTTATGCATTAATTTTCAGATCTATATCCCTTTGGCATCATATAATCTGCCTAACATTCATTGCAAATAATTTCTCGGGCTCTTAACCAACAACATGGTACCATATGTATATAAAAACATATGGATTTTCATCTCCGTGACCAACACAGTTCTAAAGTGCAATAATCATTCTTTATACAGTTATGCATTGATCTCTTAAACAGTGAAAGGGACAACACATCTCTATCTTATTCCCCATTCGGTATTGAACCATTCTCTTAAGTATACAATAAATCACAATTTAAAATCAATTTTATTTTTCATGTTTGCTCTTTCCTCAATTATTAGCTAAAGAACAAAACCATTTTGCACATCCAATGACAGACAGGAACCTGCACCACAAATCTCAGCTTTTGTTCGCTTTTTGTACCCTTTCTGTCAGAAATCTATCATCACGTTTGCTATTTAATTTACAGCCCAAATACATGCATCTGAGATTGTCACTGGTATTACTCAAATTCTGAATGATGAAAATAGTGACTTCAATTCCTCTTTCACATAAATAGCAAAATGCTATTTAATACTGATTTTTACATTTTTTTTTTTTTAGAAACTCACAGTTCTGACCTTAGAACAAGCCTTTGTGGTAGGTTTATTGGGAAAAAAACAACAAAAAAGCAAAACAAAGCAGACTATACGATGATTAATACATTCTTAAGAATATTCTCAGTATTTTCAGACACTGACCCTTCTGGATTTTATTTTCCTGCTGGATTTTATTTTCCATGCAGGCATGCAAGTGAATGTTCCACCTTTTCAGAAGCACGTTGGGAGGATATTCCTACACAGGAAGTAGAAGAGAATACTTCAGTGTTAAAGATGGTATGTTCCTTTTCAGATGGGAGAATGGTAAAAAATAATAGTTGCAGTTGTTATTTTTTTGAAAGGAGGGGTGTAAATGTTAAAAAGCCAGATCCAGAAGTAAAAACTTTGATCATGAATTCAAAAAGTGATTGCAAACCATTCTTACAGCATAATCGTGTATTAAAATAGCTGAATCATAATACACTAGTATTTTTCATGAGCCATGGTTTGTAAATCATACTTTAGTATTATATATAATCTAGGTTTTTATGGTCGGTTCCACAAACCATGATTAAAATAATCAATAGTTTAGTACATGGGATTTATCATAAATCACTAAATCCACACAAATGATGATTAACTTTAATCATGGTATAGGGAAGCAGTGTAATTTCAAGGCATGGTTTCCTTCCGTAAGAGCCTGAAGACCTGCACCATGGGGGAATACAAAACTGGAGGTGGCTATTAGACTAATAGCAGACCCCACTTTTCTCCCTGAGCATCCTACTCTCTCCCCGCCCATCTTTTAATTCATATTGCTGTATTTTCATTATTTGTTTTTATTGTTTCATTCTTATTATTATTTTTACATTTGTTTATAAGTTTACTTTCTATGTTGTAAGCTCCCCAGAATAGCCCCAAGAGCAAGATGGGCAGCAAATAAACTGAATGAATAAATAAATAAATGGTTTCTAATCCAGGTTACCATCTATCTGTGGCTCAACGTTTCAGCAAAGCTGCAGAGCATCAGCCACCTTAAACTACCATTCTGAGGTTGCATTTAACAAGAAGTCACTATTGACTGAAAATAGAAGCAAAAGCATGCCAGAGGACAAGGAGAGTGCATTCTGTCCTCAGACAGGCTGACTAAATATAGATATTTTTTTTTAATGGCTTTAGGATTGAGCCACCTCTTTTGTGTTTATTTCGTTTACTGTTAATCGTGATGAAAGTTCATAGCATATCAAAAATCTTCTGCACTTTTCTGTGGTATTTGGGTTGATCTTAATAAAGTAATAAATTACTGCTGATGCACACGGGTTATTGCTGATCCATGCTAGATATTTGAGAAAGTCAAATAACCAAAAATAAATGACTACATGCTTCATTGATTATACAAAGGCCTTCAGTTGTATCAACCATATCAAGTTCTAGAATATGATTAGAAAAAAATGACAATCCCAGAATACTTATTTTTCTTAGGAGAAACATATGTGCAGGTCAGGAAGCCATAGTCTGGGTGGAATATGGCTCCAGCTTGGCAAAAGAGTGCAGCAAGACTATATTTTCCCCTTACTTATTCAACCTATATGATAAATATATATCAAAAGAAGCTGGACTGGAAAAAGATGATGATTGGTTTTAAAGTGCGAGGAAGAAACATCAATAGCCTAGCTGTCGGTGACACTGCCTGATAGCTAAAAATGAAAAGAATCTGCAATATAAATCGAGGAGCACATGAAAAAAATGTGATTAAAATTAAATACAAAGGAGACCACACTAATTATTATTATCATCATCATCAAATTTATTTGCTGCCCATCTCACTGTTCAAGGTGACTATGAGTAGCTAATGACAGCAAGTACAACAACCAGCCTTAGAATTGACAATGGAATGATTGATTAATCATGACAGTAAAGGAACAAGCAGTCCAAAAATATGTTACATACTAGCCTCTGGTAGAGCAGCCATGAAGGCCTTGGAAATCTTGTGATGTGTCTGTACTGATAAAGATCAGTACAGTGCAAGCCATGGGATTCTCTGTGACACTCTATGGAAGCAAAAGAAGTACATTAATAATGCATTCAAACTATGGTTAAGCCAAGAAAACATATAAATGGATCATTGAACAAATCAACCCAAAATTCTCACTCCAAGTAACAAATGAACAAGCTAAAATCATCCTACTCTACACACATTATGCAAAAACCAAATTCTCTGTAGTATACTCTAATGTTGGGAAAGGTAGAAGGAAAAAGAAGAAAAGGATGACTAGCAGCAAGGTGCATGGACTTATTTACATCATTGGAAGTGTACTGTCGGAAAGCCTAAAAGATAGGTTAGGGACAGATAGACAAGATCTATATGGTCACTAAGAATCAATACTATCTTGATGGCACATAATTTTATCAAAGCCCACCGTGAATATGAAAGCTATGATATTGCACTTTCTTATATTTTCTTGAGGTGATTTCATCCAAGCTTACATTTTCCAAGTATTCTAATCCAACCTCAGGGATTTTATTTTGGCATCTGTGGACATATGCATAAGGGGGAAAAAACAATTAAAAATCATCTGAAAATGGTAGTTTGTAACTGCATGCAAATTGAATCCTGAGTTTATGCCCAGGGAGAATTTTCTCATGGCAATAATATTCCTCAACTAAATCAGGATATCTCTAATATGCCTTAGTTTCCTTTTCATCAGAACTGAAAAACTATTTGTGAAATTTTGGAAACTAAAAATTTAAACCGTTAGACAAAATTAGACAAAGCCCCAAATGAAATAGATCTAGAAAAATTGAATAACAAATAAAAAAACTTACACGCAATTTATCATGATGAAGCAGACAAATCAATATAAATATAGGGTTGGAATAATTCTTAGAAGCAGCAGGAATAGAATATAAGCTGAAACCTCCTAAGGACCTGCACTTTTCAAGCAACAATCAAATACAGGAACAGATCTGCTGGAAACAAGAGTTCAAGCTTCATATAACCTTCCCATCCATTATGTAGAGGAGAGCTGGAAAGTGAAGCTTTTATTTTACTTCGATAAAGAATAAGGTAAAATAATTCGTATTAGCCTAAAGTTCAGCACTACTTCTATACTATTTTCTCTGCTGGTAGCCTTAATACCTACTGTTCCCAAAAGTGCAATGAGATGACGTTGATATAATTCTTTAAAGAAATCGGTAGCAGAAGGTGCGTTAGACTGCTATGTCACATACTGAGAACTTTAGTAAGCACATGGAATTTGGGTGTGTCTGAATTTGGGGGATATAATTATTTGGGCCACAAAGCCCTCCTATTACAGGCTAGAAGAGCGTTCACCCCACCTTGTGCACATATTCTGAAAAAAATCATGATTTATTTAATTATGGGAACATTTTAAAAAAGATTGTTTTTTTCTGAAAATAATCAACAGGATTAATTTAAGTTTGAACTGGACTGAATAAAACTAAAATTTTAAATTTCTGTTGTTTGATTTCAGAATAGCATTATAAGACAATCTGTTGGTGCAACAACTCTTTCAGGTACGAATCAGAAACATTTTAGTTCCTTTAGATAATAAACTGTATTTTTGAGGGTATGTTTAAGAAACTCTTTTTAAAAACTGCAACAGCTAGTTTATTTGAGATTACTTTAATGACAGGCAAGGAAAATTGCAATTAATTCTTCTGTATCAGAAGCGCTGAAGTGCTTAAAAGGTGGGCATAGATACATTAATAAATCTAAAGATATGACATGACAAGTAATTATGTTCAAAGAAAGAAAAGCATGAATATTGTTTATTGAATTGGTTCTGCTTTAGAAAAAAAAAAACACCCCTCCACATTCTTCCCTTCAGGAAGCAAAGGAATAATTTCCACAAGGAAATTCCAAAGGGAAAAAAATTGAAGAATTTATTTTATAACACACATCCTAGTCTTGATCTTGGAAAGCTTTGCAGGGCTGGAATTGATTGGATGGAAAATCACTATGAAATCCTATAAAATTGAGAAGTTGAAAAAAATATCTTGAAAGAAAGCAATGACGTACTGTTCTTGCCAACAACATGTTGTTGACTTCATGGAGTCAACAGGATTAAGTTTGAAGTCTTTCCATGAAATCAACAGGATTAAATTTGGATAGAGACTTGATTATTTATGTAATAGTACTCTTGATGGATTTTATTTTAATAAAATTTAAGCAAATAGTGGAAATAGAATATGCTAATACATCTCATGATGCAGGAAAGTGAAGCATCATGAGAATGACAGTAGAGAATGACAAACAAGTTATGTTCAAGGAAAATAAAATATAAATACTGTTTGGTTGATTAATTGTCTTCTGCTTTAGAAATAAAGCTTCCAGATTCTTCCACAAGCAAAGGAGCAATACCCAATGTATTATCAGTTGGAAAACATGATTATCTTTCTATACCCGTACTTGCCTCAGCACATGAAAATGGTTTCATTTATCTATGGAGCATTATGGTAAGTCCTTTTATGGAACTGAAGTAGTGAAGTAGTGAAGAAGAGTTTCAGTAACGTTTTCCTCCGGTCAGGAGACTTTTCTACATCTATGTTTTCCTGTTTTTTCTGTTGTCCCCAAAACATATAAAACTATTCACACTTTTTTCTATGCCACTGGTGGTTCATCTGGCTTTAGCTTAAAGTGCTTTATTGTTGCTCTGGCTCAGGCCACACATTTGCATATAGGGAGGTGGTTCCAAACTTAATGGAGAAATCTGTGAAACAAATGAACAAGTAGCAAAAGAAATATCAGTGCAAACACACATGCACACACCAGAGAAATCAAATCCTCATACAGTACATCTTGCAAGCTTTTGCTTTAAGAGAATTCCAAATCCCAAACAGTGGGCCCATGAGTGATCAAGGCACGGGTCTTCAAACTTGGTCCTTTTATGAATTGTGGACTTCAACTCCCAGAATTCCTCAGCCAGGCATGGTAGCTGAGGAATTCCGGGAGTTGAAGTCCACAAGTCATAAAAGGGCCAAGTTTGAAGACCCCTGAATCAAGGCATACAAAGACAGTTGTTGCCAATGAGTAGGTTTCCGCTGGCTGATCTTCTTTCATACAAGCAAGCCTGATGTTGCTCACTTGAAAGGGTCTGGCTCCTTTCTTGTGAGGGGCCTTGCCTTTGCTCTCCTGTTTGCATGGCGAGCTCTTGCACTGGAAGCAGATAGCAAAATAAATCCTCATGATTTATTCAGAGATTGATGGCAGCTGCCTCTTGGTTATCCAGCAGTGAGGCAGGAACTGGCTGCTCATTGTTGGCATACTCACCAGATTCTGAGTTGGCCATGACATGTATGAACCCAGCATTTTTATTTGTGAAGAGCAGTTTATATCTAATATGCAAATCAGGCCTTTATACTTGAACAACAAATATTGCTTTAAAAAGCCTTAGCTTAGTTTGATACAGTACATGAACAGGCTACAGTACACTGAGTACAGTATAATTTATTGTATTGAGAAGGAAGTAGGCATAAGATTCTGCTGTAAGCCAATTTAATGGCTAATATAGAAGGTTTTTATTTTGATAGGTATGAAAATGTGTATGACTCATGCAATCCCCAAGTCCACATTCTGATTTGTTAAAATGTGATTGTATTTCTCTATGTAAAGGGAGATCTACTGAAAGAAATTCTGCCTTACACAAAACATCCTCCAATTCCTTTGACAGCACTTTGTGCTGATGGGGCTGTTGAAATGCTTTTCGCTGCTAACAAAGGTAAGTTTTATTGCTCAATATGATTGTCATACAATATAGATGGACGGCTATATAAATGTGTTAAATAAATAAAATAAGTACTTTTCCAGGCCTTTGAATAATACTGTTATATCAGTTATCATTGAATGTACAATTGAAATATTTTTCTAAATGTGTCTGTAATCTACCTGAATTGTTAAAACAGTAGGTATAGACTTTCTAAATAAATAAATCATGTGTGTAAAAACACAATATACCTAACAGTAAGAAACTGGATGCAAAAGATTAAGCTGGTGAAGCAAGAATCAGGCCTTCTCAGACTAGACCAGGGGTATCTGGGAGTTGAAGTCCACGAGTCATAAAAGAGCCAAGGTTGCCTACCCCTGGTCTAGACAGAACCTTTGTATAAACACCATGCCACTGTCTTCCAGTTTTAAGGCTGGGAAGAGAAGAGCAAAATTTCAATTGATTCATAAAGACAGGAGAAAAAGGCTAGAGTTTAAACCCTGAAATAGACTTGTGGACTCTGCAGGAAGCAGACCATCTGCACCTGTATGACTTCTTTCTTAAAGCAACTTATCTAGACATAAGGAGTCTAGGAACTTCCGATCTAAGCAAATTTCTCAAAACAAAATGGGGAAATGAGATGTATTACTACGCCTGGCGAGACGGTAAGATGATACACACAGTGTTACGCTGTGTAAGATAATAACAAGAGTGCTTAAAATTCCAGGTTGATGGCAATAGTTGAATCTGTTTTTCATAGTAATCCAAATAATATTTTGGTAAAATGAAAATGTGTTTATAATCTTAAATACTGTTTTAAATTAGAAAAAATGAGTTTCTGTGATATAAGAAAAATTATATTAAGCTGTCTTCTTTAATCAGAACAAAATAGCCATCAAGAGACCCTGTTTGAATTGTAAAATATCACTGTTTACTTGATATGTATTTTGCTGCTTCTTAACGTACAGGATATTGATGCCATGCTATTATCTTAGGGATGGCTCTTGGCCAATTCTGTATTGTGAAAAAGTTCTAATTTTTTAATAGATGATTTGTCTTACAGAGGGAAATGTTATTCGATGGAACATTGGCTCATTCCTACAAGATCCAAAAGATCCAAGCAGGGTGAGCAAAATAATATCTCCAATCCTCCAATTCATTTACATGGATTCACACATAGTCCATATTCTTTGCATAGTTGATACGTATATTACATATAGATTTAATTTAAAAATTGAAAGTAAATGAAACATAAGAATAGTTAATGATTTGTTTAATTAAGAAACATCTGTGGGAATGAGAATTACATGCAGAATTTTTATTTCCCAAAGCTGCTAAGTTCACATTTGAAGTTACTGAAGTGTTTAATAATCTGATATTTGTAAATTAAAATTGGATTATTAATTTGGATTAGTATAGTAATCTAAGAATTATTAAAAATAAATATTAAATACTGGCATTATGAAACTAATTATGAGATTGTCACAAGATCAATCACAGGCTTTTACATATCCACATTTTTTTCCAACTTGAATGATGAGGTGAATACTTACTAAATTTTCAAATAATTCAAAAGACTGATAACATCATAGAAGGCAGAAATAAATTTTAAAGCAATGTTAATAAATGAAAGAAATGGGCACAAAGCAACAAAATTTAACAAAAGCAAATGCAAACAGCTAGTTTGATGTCACTTGACTACATTGCTTAGTGATGCCAATCTCAATTTTCAATTTCCATATCAAATTAACAATTTGAATGTGCTTAAGTTGTCATATTTTATGGTCTCATATTTGATAAAAACAGGATTTGAGACCAGAGTCTTCATGCCTTTTTTCATAACCTGTTCTTTAAATTTCAACTGCATGAATATTATAACTTTCAGTTACCCATCAACAATCCCCAGACTATCTGGCATTGTAGACTGTCTCACACATACATACAGTTGAGACATAATGTATCTTGTCCACTTTTGGCTTGGCGTGATGTGAGAATGTGAAGTGGGGCTTAACTGTGTCTGAATATGGCCTCCATGCCATGTTCAAGTGTTAAAAATTCTGACTTAATATTACATGTGAAGACAGATAATGTTAACTTTTTTTTTTTTTTTGCAGCATGTAAAGCAACAAATTTGTTGGCGGGCTCATTCTGCTAAAATAGTCAATCTATCTTGTGATGATGAAAAATGCCTAGTGATGACTGCATCCACTGATGGTTCTGTCAGGTTAGTTATATTTAGCTGTTGACACTGTCTGAGGCGCTCAATCGCAGCATTAAGCAGCCTAGATGGTTCTTTACTAAGTGTCCATCAGCTTTGGAGCTAACTATGAATTCTATTAATGGGGCTTGGGACTCTGGGAATTTGGCCATGCTGGCCTCTCCTAATGGCAACTTAGCCACCACCATAAAAAGATGGCCATTAGGGGAAAATGGCTATTTTTTTTTTTTAAAGAAGAAGACAAAAGGGAAATGTTCAGGGCAGATCTTACTTAGAGTTGGTGCTCCAGGAAAGCATATTCCATAATCTTTCTCTGTTAGCCAACTGTTGACAAAGGGTAGCTGATGAAAAGTTACAATTGCCCCCTTGGCAATTACATATATTTATCTGAACTGTCAGTTATTAATGTATTGTCCTAAAAGGTACTCCATTAACAATTATTACAGGTAGTCCACAACTTAAAACAGTTAGTGACTGTTCAAACTTACAACAGCATTGAAAAATGTGATTTATGACCACTTTTCACAATTACAACCCATAATGACGTGATCAAAATTCAGATGCTTGGCAACTACCTCGTATTTATGGCCATTGCTGTGTCCCAAGGTCACATGATTACCTTTTGCAACCTTCTGACAAGCTAAGTCAATGGGGAAGCCAGATTCACTTACCAACCAGGTTACTAACTTATCAACTGGAGTGATTCACTTAACAACTGTGACAAGAAAGATCGTAAAATGGGGCAAAACTGACTTAACAAATATGTCACTTAATTGAAATTTTGGGCTTAATTGTCGTAAGTCGAGGACTACCTATATAATGCCGATTGTATTTGTTTAGTATTTGAAGCCTCTTCATATCATTGCCTCAAATCTCTTTTCTCTCTTAAATGCTGACACTATTTTTTAAAATATTTCTTGGTTGGATTTCTTTAATAGACTTTGGCATTCAATTCGTGGAATCTACTTTGGCTATTTTGGACAGCGCCGAGTGTTTGAAATTACTGAATCCTCTGATATAATTTTGCCCTGTGATGTAAATGAAATTCCATTCACAATAAAAGAAGAATCCAAGTTTATGGATAAAAAGCAGAAGTTTGAATACCCTCTGTTTTTTGACAGGGAAAAGTAAGGTCGCACATCTGCTTTGCTGAAAGAATTTGTTTAACACTTTCAAATCAGAAGAAATGGGAATGAGAGGCTCATTAGTGTTATGATTAACTAGACCACCCATGACTTGTTGGATCATCCTTTCCACATATGTTATAGGTTGGCACCCTTTCCTCCCCCCTTCTGACCTTCAGCACAGCCCTAATGAACCTTCCTCTTCTTTCTTGATTCACCCACAGAATTGCTTTCCCCTTTGCTGGCAGAAGGGGGAACCAAGGGAGCCACAAACCATGAAGAAGATTGATTTCCTGCTCCCCAGTTTGGTATATTCCAGGGAGGAAGAAGTCTCACCAGTTGACCATTGGTGCCCTCCCCCCAGGCTGGCCTCTCCTGTCAACAAGCATTTGAATCTTTCCCTCATCCCTTCCATCACTGCCCAGTGCCATTAAGAGATTTCAAACTTCGGTTTTGGTTCCAAATTGTCACTCATCCATTGGGCCATAACAATCACGTGACCATTGCTGACCACAGTGGCACAAGTTTAATCCAGTGGGAGTAAGAGGTGCTAGATTTAATTTAGTACCATTTCACCCAATTGAAAATTATAGATAAATAGATTCATCACACAATCATATTTGTATAAGAAGTGGCATATAATTGTCAGCTAATTGAGTTTCTGTTAAATCTTTGAAGGTTCTTTTATATTAATGCTGTTAATAGGATCCTTAATTTTTCCCAGAAATGTCCTCATCTTGATCCATTCCTCTAAAATAAATCAGGAATTGTTTTGCCCAACTACCTGGATCTTTTACTTACATCTGTGGTCATCACTAATTACCTCTCTTTTTTAGCTTGATTTTTCTGTTTCATTGTTAGGAGCTACATAATGGAAAACAGCATTTTTTTTCTCATTGTGATGTCAGGCAGAAAAAGGATCTGCAGTCTGGCAGCAATTAGCTAATGCTGAAAATATTTATCTTCCTATTCTAATCTATTCATTCTTGCAGTACTGTTTCCCTGTCAATAAAATTATCTCCCATAGTTTCTGCCCTTCTCCATTGCTGCTCCCAGTCAGTATCTCCCCCCCCCTCCGCCCATAAGGAAGGGACCCTCTCTCTTGGGGTTCCATAAAGTTTTGAAAACCTGGCCTGGATCCCCAGCCTGGATTAGTGTTCATGATTTGTATAAGGCCCCTGCTTTGTTTTAGTGTATTTGTTATTTATTAGATCATATTAGTCTGGGTTATCTGTCCAATTTAATGGTTTTAACTATTTTTGTTTTTTTATAGTTTTGTATGCCACCTAGAGTCCACTGGGGATGGGCAGCCAATAAATAAATTTTATTTATTAAAGAAGTGTACACCATGCCAGAGTCTTGCCTGGGTGTATTTCTGATTTAAAGCAATCTTACAAATGCATAATCAGAATTACTGTAATAGCCATTATAGCCAATGAATCTTATTCTTCAATAAGAGTATTTCAATGGGGCTTAAGCCTAAGCAAATTGCAGCATTAAACTAGCAGAACAGCAATATTTTTTTCTTTTGATGACCATATTAGAATTGAGATTAATGGTATTCATCATTGACATAATTATGAAGTTGAATGTTTCCTTTGTTTTGCAAGTAACATATTGCTTCTCAACTATATCTTTTTAATAGATGGAAGACTCTGACCAAATCATCTTTAAACTTGAGAAAGCCTAGCCGACATGACGTTGATCTGGATTTTAAGTTTTTCAAGGCCCTGGCTTCTCCCAAGGTACTAACTGTTGAAGCTTTATTTTGTCTTGTTCCAGTGTTTCTCAACCTCAGCAGTTTCAGATACGTAGAATTCAACTCCTGGCTGAGAAATTCTTGGAGCTGAAGCCCACACGTTTTAAAGTTGCTAAGGTTGAGAAACAGTGTCTTATTGGAAAGATTAGTTAGGGGCAGTGACACTGTCAAATCTTGCCTGGTTATTTTATATGCCAACTACATATCTTATTTGGGGAGGCGCAATTCTGGGTACTGGATTTTGGATCATGCTAAGCAAGATAGCAAGGAAGACTAGGGTTTGGCTAGACAAGGTTTTGATTTTTCCATTTGTGTAATGTTAAATTTGAGAACTATCATTCTGTCAGATTATGACTCAAATTATAATAATTATTATAACTGTTTTCATTATTTATACTAAGCAATGCTTAAATTTTATACTTCTGAAGTATTTATTTTAAGAAAACTGTGTGCCTTTTATTATATAATGAAAGTAGCACTAACATTCCTTTATTTGTACCAACAAACGTATGTTCAAATAATCAAATGAAAAAGAATATTGCTGTGGTGATGTTCCTTGAATTGAACTTTTGGTGACTTTATAAACACTAGAGGGTTTTTTTAACAGTACAGAAATGATATGCCTTGCCATCTTCTGTAGATTCTTTTACTTCCTAGTCTACACTACAAGTCAGAATTAACCTAGCTACCATTATTTTCGGTAAAGAAGCTGTACTTCAATGAAACAGGAGCTGAATTCAACTTAAATCAGATTTTAGAAATACAAAATTAATGTATTAAATAACTGAGATACCATTATTTTTGGAATAGAAATTATATTATTTTAATATTGCAGGTCAATAAATCCCCCTTGGAAAGTTTCAAATCTGGAAACAAAGAAGCTGGTATTGTATTTGGAGCTATACCAATCTATAGGGTGAGTTCAAAGTCATCTGATTAAATGGAAGCTTCATAAAAACAAGAACTTTAAGATTTAGCTATTATGAAAGTTATTCTCTGTGAATTTGCCAGTATTTATTTATAAAGTAGTTTTAATATTTGATAACATTTTCCTTGAACTAGCGATTTCTTGATATTTTATAATTTTATATGCATACGTGAGCAAGGAGAGTAGAATAACAATAGTTCCAGTGAGAAAAATATAATATTTCAGTAACTGAAATATTGACTTGCCATCTCAGTTTGGCACTAGAATATTCTGTGTCCTGTCAGAATTCAAGGAGTCTAGGAATTATATTCAGGATTTTAAGACAAGATGTTTATAGCACACAAATTGTGTTGCATGATTGTGAAGGCTGGACTGCAAGCCGCATATGGTCTTCTATCTTTAATCTGCCACAGGTACCCATGGAGCCATCTTGAATTACGTTCCTTAACACCGTATTTCCCCGAAAATAAGATCGGGACTTATATTAATTTTTACTCCAAAAGACACATTAGGGCTTATTTTCGGATGATGTCTTATTTTTTCATGTACAACTATCTACATTTATTCAAATAAATAATATCAATAATATTATTTATTTATATATTAATATTATTATTTTATAATTCAATATGTCCATTGTGTGGTGCAACAAATGTACTAAATGCATCCGTCTGGCTGATGATCTTAACTGGGGTTTATTTTGGGGATAGGGCTTATATTATGAGCATCCTGAAAAATCATGCTAGAGCTTATTTTCCAGTTAGGACTTATTTTCGGGAAATACAGTACTAACTGCTGCTGATTGCTACCACTATTAGCATCATTATCATTTGAGAGAAAGTGTAAAACCTGATCATGCATTTTAGCAAATTCTGATGATTAGGTACATTACAATTTGTTGACACCTTTCAAAGGTACTTTGCAAACTGCATCTTAGGTTTTTAGAGCAACAGTTTGTGAACCTCTGATGTGATTAATAGTTGAAAATGAATAATTAAGAGAACACAGTAGCTTAAAATAGAGATCAGAATAAAATTGCTTCTTAGCTCTTTAAAAGCAATCAATACTGTTTTATTAAGCACAGCAAAAAAAAAAACACCTCACATTTAAACCATAGTGTTTTATAGCAAAAGACTAGTCTTTGTAACTTTTTGCAACTTAAAAATCTTCCCACATGCATCTTGGCTTAGATATAAAAGCATAGCTTCACTAGCAGAAAGCCCTAAAAGATAAAAACTTCTTGCAGTCAAGCTAAAGTCCTGCTGAGTTAATGGATGAACCTTTTTTGGATATAGTAGTTTTCTGACTTCCTAGTTTAAACTACAGCCCTAGCACCTAAATTTCCTGGTAGTCAGTCATTGACAAAGTACAGAGTAACTCTAATTCAGCATTCCTTTGGGGGAATGAGACAAAGTCAGAGTTGGGTGATTTCAAAGAATGAATTCAATTTCTTCCCGCGGGGGGGGGGGGAGAGCACAGGATTAAGTTACAAATATGGTAATTGAAAAATGCTGTAAATAAACAACAAAACAGAATAAGCAATTGTACATTGTTTCCACTAATGGCAGTGTAATTAATGGTTTTACAGAAAAGCAAGGCAAAATAAAAACCCTGCACTGTTTATAGCATCTTGAACATCTGTGATGTAAGAATACAGGAAATTACCAGATGATAGGTGTTGCGTCCTGAGCCTGCTGCAGTAGTAAGCAGGCTCAGAAATGTTGCAAATGGTCCCAGGCAAGCCAAAAGCTGCCCGGGACCAGACTGGCTGTTGCCAACCTTGTATGCATGCGCAAGGCGCAAAACAGCCAACTTCCTATTGGCTGACATTGTCCAGGTTCAGGACTCTATAAGGCCTGTGTGCCTTTTGGTTTTTGCTTGGTTGTAAGGAGAAGATCAATAAAGAGATTACTTGTTCATCATGTGTCTTCGTCTAAGCCTAAGAACCAAATACATAAAACTGGTGACGAAGGTGGGATCCCTGCAAGCAAGAGAAACAAATAGGACTCACCGAGAAAGTCCTGAAGACTGGGAAGATGGCGTCCTGCATTCGCGACAGTACAGCATTGCTGGAGGTGAGCTTGGCAAAAGGACCCTTTCCCCAAATACTAGCTTGCAGAGGAAGCAATTAGCGAAGACCGTAAAGGTTTACGATGTTGAAGATTGGCCACTTGACGGCCTGAAAGCGGCAGCTCTTCTCTGCGCCTGTGGCCAGGAAGCATTCGACATTGCTGAAAATCTGGTGGCCCCTGCACTTCTGGAGTCAATAACATACGCTGACTTGAAGAAGATGCTGAAGGAACATTTCCAGCCTAAATTGTCTATCATCACTTGGAGGCACACGTTTGAGCAGAGAGACCAGAGGCCGGGTGAATTTGCTGCCGACTTCATCGCTGCCTTAAGACAAGCAGCCAGGCCTTGTGAGTTCAAGGACCTGGAAGACAGGCTGCGAGATCATTTCGTGGGTGGCCTACGAAGTAGAGAACTGCAAAGAAGATCTTCGCGAAAGAAGAAGTATCGTTTCAAGATGCCTTAAAAGAGGTTGCAGCTGAAGAAGAAGCAGGCGACACTGTGAAGGCTTTGCGGCTTGCCAGGAACCCTCCAGCCACCATGACCATCCATCAAGAGGATAATTCAGAAGCGGATCCTGAAGAGGAGGTGGACAGACTTCACCAGCCAGCAGAAAGAAGGATGAAGGGGCATCCAGACAAGGCCCCAGCATCTCCTCAGTGCTTCAGGTGCGGAGGACGCCACAAGCGAGCTGACTGCTCCACCATTTGCCAGGCATGTGGCAGGCAATGCCACATTTCCTCCATCTGTTTGGGTCGCCAGAAGGTCCAACCCCGGGAAGAATTGCTTCAGAAAGGTACCAGGGTTCCCAGCCAACAGAGGGTGGGTTTCTGCGCAACGCGCAGGAGTATTCTAAGAACAGGGACACACAAGCCCCTTAAGAAAAAACTTCACATTGATGTGAAGTTGCAAGGGGTTCCCTTATCGATGGAGTTGGACACAGGGTCCCCTCTATCAATCATTTCACTTGACACCTTCAAAAGGATTTGCGGCAGTAGTGGCCTTCGAGTCATACTCAGGCCACTGAATTTAATCCTCACTGAATTCCAAAGTCAGTGTGAAAGGAGAGGCTACGCTGAAAGTGCAGTGTAATGCTTTTGAGGGCCTCCTAGATTTGGTGGTAGTTGGGGGTGAACGCACAAGTCTTATTGGACTCGACTGGTTCGAGGCCCTTGGAATCCAAGTGACTGGGCTTCACAGCCTGCAAACCTTAGGCCTTGCAGAAGTCTGCAAGGAGTTTGCTGATGTGTTTAGCTCAGAGCTTGGCTCCTACAAGGGGCCTCCCATTGCATTATGTTTAGACCCAACTATCACACCCATCAAGATCAAGCCTAGAAGGGTGCCTTTTGCCTTCAAAAGCAAGATAGATGCAGAGCTGGACAAGCTGATTCAGCAGGGCATCTTAGAACCTGTGGACTCTAGTCCATGGGAAAATCCCATTGTAACACTTTTAAAGGCTAATGGAGAAGTCCGCATACGCGCACACTATAAGTGCACGCTGAATAAAGCATTGCAACAGTAAGCATATCCAGTGCCTGTGGTAAGCCACATTCTGGCCTCCCTCAAAGGGGGGCGCCTTTTTGCAAAACGTGATTTGGCAAGGCCTATCAACAGCTACCTGTTGATGAGGCAACTGCAGAGGCCCAAACGATTGTAACACATAGAGGGGCCTTTAAGATTAAAAGACTGCAGTTTGGGGTTAATGTAGCCCCTGGTATATTTCAAAGTGTCATGGAACGCACACTTTGTGGTGTTCCTGGGGTCTGTCCCTACTGCAATGACTTCCTCATTGCTGGGGAGTCATCTCAAAATCTAGCAGAAAGATTAAGGGCTGTCTTGCTTTGTTTCCGCCAAGCAGGCCTTAAATTGAAGCAAGACAAATGCAAAATAGGAATCACTTCCACTGACTTCTTAGCCTTCAGGATTGATGCTCAAGGCATCCACCCTGCTGAATCCAAGCTTCAAGCGATTCAGCAGGCCCCAAGTCCCAAGTCCAAGAGTGAACTGCAAGCTTTCTTGGGGCTCTTAAATTTTTGTCACGCATTTCTCCCACATAAGGCTGCAGTGGCAGAGCCCTTACACCGGATCTTAGACAAGCAGGCTCCATGGCAGTGAACTAAATTCCATGAAAAGAGTTTCAGTGAGGTTAAGGCCTTGCTTTCTTCAAATGCTGTATTAGTGCATTTCAATGAGCAACTGCCTGTGTGCGTTGCATGCGATGCATCTCATTATAGGGTGGGAGCAGTACTTAGCCACCTGAAGGCTGATGGGACACAAGTCCCTGTAGCATATTATTCAAGGACTCTGTCATCTACAGAGCGGAATTACGCTCAGATTGACAGAGAAGCCTTGGCCATAGTGGCTGGGATAAAGAAATTCCATGATTTCTCATATGGCCGCCACTTCACGGTCTACATAGACCATAAGCCTCTGCTGGGTTTGTTTACCGCTAACAAACAGACATCACACATTATTTCTCCATGTATGCTGAGATGGTCAATTTTCCTGTCAGCATATGATTATACACTTATTTACAAACCTGGAAAAGAGATGGGCCACGCAGACGGCCTCAGCAGATTACCTCTCAAACAAATAGAGGCAGATCCTGCTCCTGTTATTAACAATCTTTCCATTCAGGAGTTGCCTGAATCTCCCCTCAATGCTAGGGATGTGGCACTGCCACTGATCACATGCTCACACCCATGCTGACATGGGTCTTGTCAGGATGGCATAACACGTGTCCAAATATGGAGTTTCAAAGCTTCTGGCAAAGGAAGCATGAGCTTTCTATGTTTAAAGGGTGCCTGTTATGGGGTAGTAGGGTAGTCATCCCAGCCTCATTGAGGTCTAGAGTCTTGCTCTTTCTGCATGAGGGACATCCAAGAATAGTAAGGATGAAAGCGCTTGCGTTCAGCCATCTCCGGTGGCTTGGGCTCGATAAAGACATTTGAGGCCCAGGTTCATGGGTGCCAAGTGTGCCAACAGTCAAGGCCTGAAATGCCCCAGGCCCCTATACATAGGTGGGAGGAAACACAAACCCCTTGGTCAAGGGTACATATAGATTACGCTGGGCCCTTTCAGGGGCAATTTTTCCTTCTCCTCATTGACAGCCATTCCAAGTGGCTAGAGTTTGTTCCTGTTTCCTCCACTACTAGTGCCAGGACCATCCAGGTGTTGAGAGGAATTTTCACCTCACATGGACTTCCAGATGTCCTGGTTTCAGATAATGGCCCCCAATTTACCTCTTTTGAGTTCCAGGCTTTTCTTCAAGCCAACTTGATCCGGCATGCGACGTCTGCTCCTTTCCACCCATTTTCCAACGGACAAGCAGAGAGGATGGTGCGCACTACCAAAGATGGTCTCAAGAAACTGACTTATGGTAACTGGCATCACAGGTTAGCAGATTTCCTTCTTGCACACCGCACCACACCTTGCACAGCCACAAGGAAGAGCCCAGCAGAACTCCACTGGAGTCGCCGCCTTATCACCAAACTGGACAGGTTGCACCTAGAGCAGGCGGCTTCACAGGTATCACAGCCGCTGGCACCTAGGAGACTTCAGGTGGGCGATCTGGTCTGAGCAAGGAACTATGGGCCTGGACATCTCTGGGTCAAAGCAGTGGTATGCAAGGTCTCTGGGTCGCTGTCATACGAAGTGGCCTTGGATGATGGACGTGTCATTCGCAGACACATTGATCAACTGCGCTGGAGGCTTAACAGCCATGCTTCCATCCTGGCTCTGCTCTGGTGGGGGGAGGAGGACCATAATCTGCATTCTGGTTCACAGTTTCCCAGTTCTAGCAGTGTCTCACAAGCTGCTGAGACTGCCGCTGAGGCTGTTCAGGGGTCATCTCAAGGTTCAGCAAGTGCTCCGAACAAAAATTCTCCAGAAGGGGGGTCATCCCGCACATCAGTTATTGCTCCAGACATGGAGTTGCACCAGGGATACCCACATAGTCCAAATACTTCAGATAGTGCTCCAGAGAGGGAGCCGCATTGGGGGTATCTACGTAATTCAGACACAGCCCCAGACTGAGAATTTCACTAGGGGCACTCACACAGTTCAGCTATTGCTTCAAAAAGGAAGTCCTTAGAAAGGGGTTTGCCATGGAGGCGGCTCCTGACTCTGGCACCTCTGGCACATACACGGGGGCTATGGAGTACTGGGGCACTTCCGCCACTCAGGCCACTCCAGCTGCTGGCTTTAGGCTCGAGGGACAGTGCTCTCAAGAGGAGTCTATTGTGGACTCGGGGACTTCCACCCCTCCAAGGAACTCTGGCTTGGACTTAGAGGGTCCAGCCAGTCAGCAGCTGG